TATATATGATTCATACATATTAATATTTGGTTATCCTTTGCACATAATTGAAACTTTCATTGCATTACTTTAAACTATGACTTCACAAACAATTATTTTAACGTCATTTCTTACTGCAATAATAAGTTACTTTTCCTGTTTATTTTGTTTTATTTTATTTTTGTTACTCATTTGGTGATATATACATAGTATTCTATGCTTATTCTGTATTCGCAAACACGCTTATAAAACTGTTTACGTAGTTCGCTTCTCCTTTATCTCGATTTTCTTAGTTTCGCCACTTCCTCATTATTCTTTTCTATCATACAGAACCTGGTTTATTACTATTATTCCATTATCACTATTGTCTTTTTTCTCTTTTTCAAATATGGCAAATACAATGCTAACATTAATGAAACTTGTGTATTATTGCATTCCTGAAGAAACCCGAAATGGTTTCTTCACAATATTTATGTACCCATAAGATATTTGTTATTAATAATATTAATAATAAGAAGAAAGTGTTTGACCACCACATGAGCTAGTCCATGACGTGCAAATGAACTGTTCAATATTCAGTGGCCCGACTGCTGGATGACCTTTTGCTGGCCATACACATTGCGCATTCTAGTTTTACCATCAATTATCACATTATTATGCACTAGAATTCACTCCCCTGCTTCTATTGTGAAGGCATTTTGTAATATATCAGCGAAACTTAGTAACTTATTGCAGCTAGCTTTGTAGAATTGGCGGTATTTTGATCTTGCTTCAAGACCGGCATGCCTTATATAACTTAATGTTAATCGACAACAGATTATTGTGATTATAAATCGTTTCGGCAAAATGGCAGCCTAAGGGCCAGGTTCGGTGAAAGCTGCCCTAAACATCTCTGCGTATATTCACGTGCAATTTAATGGAAACGTTTAGATCGCAAATCACCAATTTAATTATCAGACCTTGATATTATTCCTATGTCTCATTCCATTCCACTGGTACATAATACATTATTATTGATAAACATCTTGATTAATCATCAGTTTTAGGCTGTGAAAGCTGTGAGAAGTTACTGGGATCATAATCCGTTCTACGTAATCCCAATAAAATTCAGTAATATCCACAACCACGCACTGGTAATTATCACCTATTCACTAATTACTAAGTTCGAAGGGAAATTTTCCGAGTTGTAGTTTTAGGTTTAGCTTTGACCTTGTCGGCTGTAAGGAAGTAATCCGTTGGAGGCAGTCGATTTTTGCTCAGTGTTGTATACTGACTGCATTTAAACTTGCACATGATTATATGCCGGCCAGTAATTTAAGGGTTAAACGTCTGCATGTGAGACCTAGTGTGCTGGGTATGGTTTACGATGTCGTATGTACGCTGCTGATGGGTCCTATCAAATAGGCGTCCTTGCAGAGACTTTTCGTTTTTAGCAGTCTTCTAAATCAGACTGATTAGTGACATCAAAATATATTGGCGTAGAGCCACAATGATGACAAACAAGAAAGAAACATTCCTTTATCCATTCATCTCTCCGTAGAAATCTAAATGAGAGGCGAGACAGGAATTTGTTGAGAACTTCGAAGTTTGGTCTACTTTTCGAAATACAACCTCTGCTTAGTTTCAATTTCGCTCTTAAAAAAACAGAAACAAAAAGAATCAACCGATTGAGAACGTTCCGACTGTTGCAAATAGAGTACGTGTTTATTCAGCCTCTAGCGATAGTGCACATGATGCAATCATTTTAACTGAACAACATGGAAATTCTAAACACCGTGCGTAATAAGAGGGTAACTACCAGATACAAGAAGTTAGAGGACAGTTTGACATGCTCAAAATCTGTAGCGCAACGAAGTTGACTGATCTCAGACTTTGCTTGATCGACAGCATCAAGGGTTGGTAATAACTAGCGAACGCATCTCGTCTATGGCTCGAACGCCCTATGGGACGGAGGACATCCGCCCTGTAGGAGAATGCTTTCAAAGTGGAACTCAGTCATTGTTGTCCTACATACCAGATATATTTAGGAAGACATTGGTATTTCTTGTTTATGATTTACACGCATATTTTTTATTGTTTACTGAGCATCAGATAATTGGGTAAATTGGTTTCAGTTACAGCAATACCGATAGTGTTGGTTTTCCAAGAGGAATTTTTCTGTGTCTGTACTCTGATTGATTATGGCGGTCTTTCTGTTTATTCTACTTTGGGACTTAATGGTTCACAGTTTAGTAAGCCTAAATTGGCGTGGCCTTGCTAGGAATGCTGCTCGGACTCAAAGAGTGTGATATCAGAAGCTACTGTGAACGTGACAGAAAGAACATTGGCAGGCGCAGGCAGAGAACTAACCTTAAAACAGCTTTCAGGACTAAGAACTTAAGAAACCAGGTTCCTTTTATGCACTGCCGTCCAGCTGGCAGCAGTCGAGAAACGCACAGTAACCCAATAGTAGGGTTGGGTCAGTTTATACTGAGAAAATCAACATAGATCATCACATGAATACCAAAGTCATTGACAATCATTCCGGATCTCAAGATGTACGTAATGAAACTGTGATTGCGATTTTATTGAAAGTTGACAAATAAACGAAAACTAAGCGTACGAAACGATCTGATATCGTAAACTCAATTTCTCTTGCCAAAGCTGGAAAATCGATAATTGATCACAGTGACTGGCCAGCTGTGTTTCGTAGAGTCAAAGAGAACCAGAGCACTGGGGGCGGAACTGACATTGAGTATGACATCGCGTTGACATTAAGTCTAGTGAACTACCTGGTGTCTCGAGTTATCTCTTTGATTTACAGACTAGGTACCCGGAAGGACTCTATGGAAAATCAAACAAAGCCATCTGAGTAAAGGAGCGGAAGTAGCTTCGTTCACTAGAAATACTATCCACTTTACCGTTATCGATAGCACATATCATGAAAGGGAACATATAAATTAGTTAGTTACCGCTTGAGATACAAGGGAAAAGAGTTGTTAATTGGTTTGGTCCACCACAACAGCCTTCCTTATTCCAACCCTTCCTTCACTTAAACTTACTCCGCCTTGGTAAATATCACAACTCAACGTTCTTTATTACTACATTCTGTCATCTGAAGCTTCTAATCACACTTCACTCTAGCTGCAAGAGCTAGTATGAATTTAATTTGATAATTTATCATACTTGTGTCTTTTCCACCACAAAGTGTTAAGTATTGTTTATCGTTTATATCCAAGTGCCTTGCTGCTCCTCGGTTTCTCTTTTTTCTTCAGAATCTTGCTTTGAGGGCAGAGCTATGGAACATTTTTTACATCTAGAACGAACTAGACGTACGTGCTTTCCCACGGTCATAGTTCACATCAAACGCTCTACAAGTCTACTTTATAACAACTTTAAACCTAAAAAGTTGCATTGCATTAATACTTCGCACGACCAAAACCCTAGCACACTTATGCTGAGATTGGATCTCGTGTGTAACGTGGACGCGATGTCACTTTGGAAAATATTTTGAAGACTACTCAGTATATCTATAGGAATGAACTGATATTCACTTTTATAGAGAATATTTATTTACCATACATACTGTGAAACAATAAATATTGTAATTGATGGATCATGTCTGTAAAAATGGCATGCACCTGCCCTTGCAGGAATATTTTATACTATACTAATCGAAACTCTGAGGTAAATAGGGTGCTCCCAGGTGGTCTCAACACTTGATCTTAAAGTGGTCGATGTTCAACATTACGAAATTTCCACAAAAAAGTCACTGTACCGTACGTTCCTTGAATCACACCAAGAAATTCAATAAACTCCTTTCAACAGTTCGGTAAGGAGATCCGTAACTTCATCTGAAAAAGGAGAGAATGTGGAAGGGATCAAGGTTACTGAGTTCTAATTAGACAAAATCTCAATATCGGGAAGCCCGGAATATTTTTGCATCAACCCTACCTAAGTGTCAACAGTTGTATGCATAATAACCTGTTAACGAGTCCACAGAATATACAGGACACTTATATTCGTGCATTAATGAAAGAATTGAGGAAAGAGGCGGCGTTTCAGCGTTTTGTAGGGACAGAAGTTCCACTTCATTGGCAGAAGACGATCACTAAGAAGCCCAGTTATTGTCACACAAATTTGGTAACATATACACCGTATTGACGTCCTTATCTTCTCTTCCTAAAGAGCTCCTAACACGCAATCTTGGTCGATTAGGGAAATCAGTTAGTTTGGTCTGTTAAATAAGTTTAATATAGGTAAATCTAAGAGACCCGATAAAATACATTCGAGATTCCTCCTATGAGTTAATAACATTCCTAGTTTCCTATCATCGGTTTTGTTATATCCTGACGATATGAAGATGAGTGAGGGTAATGTTTAGGAGCTTCGGGACAACTTGCAGAAATTATCCAAACGGTTTAGAATTTGGCAGTTGCCGACAAATGCCTCCAGGTGCATAATGGTTACCAATTTACGGATGCATACACAGTGAAGAATATTGAGCTACTTGTTGTCTAGATACGTAACAACTTAGGAGTCATTGTTATTCGCGACTTGACTACTCATGAAGCCGTCATGTAACAGACGCCGAAGCTTTTAGAATCCACTGATCAGTAAGTATAGCCTTTTGCCACGTGGATGCTAAGACACACCTGACTACGTATATAGCGTTCGTCCGACCTTCACCTGAGCATTTCCTAAATGTTCATTGAGTTGTTAGAAGAGATTTCTGAAACACCAGGTATGTTGATTCTTGGAATCTCACAGCTTCCATATGACGAGAGATTGGCCAAACCAACCTATTTTCATTGTAATGCAGAAGGACCACTGGTGACTTTACCAGTTTCGAAATAACATGATAGAATTGCAATCGGCACTCCTCCTTTTTATTTTCTTACAAAACAGAGGATTTATGATGAAACCTAGAATGAATAACATGTAAGCTGACTATCGATTCCCCCAGGGAACAATAAGAAAAACGGAACTCCTTTACTCAATACGTGGTTAAAGCTCCATCTATAAACTCCATCGAAAAATTAGATCAACTGACGCAACATTGTCTTTTGAACTAAAACCGGTCACACAGTTTCCTGTCCTTTCTTAAATAAAACTGAAAATCCAATCTTATGGATTGCCAACCGAGTGTGGGACATTTTTACTGTGCGTTACTCAATTTACACTTGGGATGAGGAAGAAAGTATGTCATGTTATCATGCTGCTTACTTCATAGGTTTTGTTAATGGGAAAATCTGGTTCAGGCAAAACGAGTATGAGAAGTATCATATTTGCAAACTTCATCGCTCGAGATACTCGCAGACTCGGCCCTACAAGTATGTGTAAATATACAGTTTAACCAACTTTTCGTATTAGTGGACGTAGAACACACTCACCTACGACTGCTAGGTGGATTGGTTCTAAATTTATGGGATTGCGGAGGGTAAGTCTGTCAATTAATCGTCTGTTTTTCCATAGTCAAGATGGATTTATGGAAAGCTATTTCGTCAACCAAAGAGAAACCATATTCAGAAATGTCGAAGTCTTGATCTATGTTTTCGATATTGAAAGCAGGGAAATATCAAAAGACTTGGCTTATTACCGTTCGTGCTTGGACGCTGTAAATCAAAATTCCCCCGGTGCGAAAATCTTTTGCCTCATTCATAAGACAGACCTCGTCAGTGAAGAAAAAAAGGATGAAGTATGTCTTCAAAATGTTGTTATTTAAATCTGACTGTTTGGTTGTACTCTTTCAACGACGCTGGATCGTGGTCTGAAGATAAACAGTGCCATATTCACCTTTTCGTTTATCCTACCGTTCAGAAAGTTCCAGACCAACCCTTCTATATTGTCTAGAGCAGCAAATTTAGTAATCTTATCCATAGGCTTTATGTAAGGATCGTTCAAACTTTTCCGAAAACAACCAATCTCTGTCACGTATATTAACTGTTTTATCTGTAGTTGAATGCAATTCCAGGGGATAAAGGACACAAACTAAACTCTCCCATTCAGATATCCCACTGATTGCTGAATTTTCGAAGTATCAGTTGCTTCGAAAGTAATTAACGATTCGCCCGAAAACTCAGACAACACTTTTGATCCCATAAGAAATTTTTCTGAAGATCCTCAGGCAATCGATAAATTCCAGCCCCATGAGTGTTAGTAGTTTCCAACTAGTGCCAGTCTATGATGGAAACCACTTACAGATTTTATATTCTGAATTCGCAAGTTTGTAAAATACCGTACAGTGGTTAGATTATTCTAAATAATTATTCGTCAGTTTTTACTGTTTAGCTTTTATGTTTTAAAAGATAAACTTTATTCCTCCTCCGATTGATACATAAAATAGGTATTTCAAGTCAGAAAGCAAAATATCGAAGCGGTTACAAAGCCATTCACTTGTTCATGCTTTGCTACGTCAATATGGGATGAAACATTATTTAAAGCTTGGTCTAAAATTGTTTATGAACTTATTCCGAATATCAAAATGTTGGAGGGTAGTTTAAAGCAACTTTGTGAAGTACTGGAAGCTGATGAAGTGATCCTGTTCGAAAGAGCAACATTTTTGGAAATTGCTTGTCATTCTAGAGTTCCACATTCCGATGTGCATAGGTAGGAACTATGTGTTTATTCGTCCTAATAACTTCAAAATTTAGGTTTGAGAAGATAAGCAACATTGTGAAACAATTCAAATTGTCATGTAGTAAAGTTGGGGCAAATTTCACGAAAATTGAACTGCGCAACCAACACTTTGCTGCGTTTATTGATGTTTTCACATCTAATACATATATCATGGTGGTATGTTCTGATCTATCCATCGGTGAGTGTACTAAGTTTGAAACACTTCTTATTTTTCATTTTTACTAATGGTATTCCCTATGAATGAATGAAAGTCTGTTACAACGGATAGAGTCTATTTAACAGATTGGTATATGCACCTATCACGAGTCAGAATGCAGTTGGGTTTGTACCTCTAGTCATGTGGTTTGTAGTTTAGCACTTCAAAATATTGGTTAATTACAGCTTTGGGTGATTGTTAATACATGCCGATCTCAAGCCCGACCAAAGGAGGACGGTTGGGCATAGAGTCACCAACCCCAAGACTACTTAGTTTCTCCTTTTTCTGGTGATCGACTGGATTACAAAGACCTAGATATCTGAGGGGGAACATGGGATACAATGGATAGTTTGGGTGCAGCTAGACGATTTGAACCTTACAGACGACCTAGCTCTTCCATCCCATAGACAACAACAAATGCGGATTAAAACAATCAGAGTAGCGGCAGTCTCTGCATCAGTTGGGTCTAAACATACACAATGGAAGAAGCGAGATCAGTCAGTCAGCAACAACTTAGAACTTCGTACGTACGTACGTACGTACATCAGTTCGAGTTGCCATACCACATTAGCACACAAATACAATTGTCGATTCAAATCCCGTAGTGGTAAAGGTAGTAAGAGTATAAGCCGTACTCGGAAAGATTAAGGTTTGAAGATGTTATTCAAGGAGTATAATTCAGTGAAATAAATTTGGAAAGAGAAAGAAAGAACATGAAGAATTCAGAAAATTAGAATTTGGAAGAACACAGAGAGGATGCACCTGCGCCATTGCAAACGATTTTGAGCCATGTCATTCAGGGTCTCTAACCATCGGTTGCTATCATCTCGCGGTCCCCATCCAAGTAGTCTTGACCTACCAACATGACTCAGTCTACTTGTCAGTGACTTCATGGGTTTGTGCCATGTTCTGGTCTGACCGCCCCTAGCTTTCTTCCAACCTACTCCTACACCGTAAAACATAGCACGTCGAGGTAGTCAGTGGTTGGGCATACGTAGCACATGTCCCAGTCATCTCAACTGATGAAGTTTCATTACGTCATCAATTGATTTGCCATCCTTACCTAGTACCCGTTTCCTAACAACTGCATTACTTACTCGGTGGTCCCAGGATATACGAGCTATGTTTCGAAGACACCTATGATCGAATACTAGTAACCTACGAATATCCTCTACTTTTACCGCAATGTTTCACTGCCATAAAGAAGGACGGAACGAACTGCTGCGCAGGAAACCCGTCCTTTGGTTAGTAGACGGATATCTCGCCTACTCCATAAATGACGCAAGTTGGCAAAAGCTAGTCGAGCCTTCTGTACCCGTGCTGAGATTTCGTCACACACCAGACCACAAGGGCTGATGAGACTTCCAAGATATGTTAAGCGGTCGACACGCTCAACTACTTCACTCCCTATCATTAGTTCGGGTGTCGATGCAACCCAATCCTGAAGCAACATTTTGCATTTTGAGGGGGAGAATCGCATCCCGAACATGCTTGCATTGTTGCTTACGGTGGTCAGAAGACTGCATTTTGTCAGCGTCTTCACCAAATAGAACTATGTCGTTGGCATATTCTAGGTCAGAAAGTGAATCTCGGTAGAAGTTCAACCCCTGGAAATCTAGACGAGGAAAGTGTTATCTCTAAAAGTACGTCGACGACGAAGTTGAACAAGAATGGAGAGAGTGGGCAGCCATGACGAACACCACTTGAGGTAATCGATACTGATGAAGCAAGGTTCTGAAACACAACACTTGGAGCACCAACCTGATCACACTTGATGGAGAAGCTCTAGTAGATGTGGAAACGTGAACGTGCCTGGACAGCATTATCGATGAGCAAGGAGGATGTGATACAGATGTGAAGGCACGGATTGGCAAAGCAAGGGTAGTATTCCTACCATTGAAGAACGTATGGAACTCAAAACAACTGTCAGCCAACATCAAAGTTAGAATCTCTTATGCGAACGTCAAGATAGTTCTATTGTACGGAACTGGAACTTGGAGAAATACTGGAAGCATCATCAGGAAGATACAAGTATTTATAGACAATTGTCTACGCAAGATACTGAATGTCCGCTGACTAGATACCATCAATTACAGCCTACTGTATGAGAGAACAAAGCAACTTCCAACTGAAGAGAAAATTAGGAAAAAGCGCTGAAAGTGGATAGGACATACATTATGGAAATCACCAAACTGCATCATGAGGCAAGCGCTAACTTTCGATTCTGAAGGGAAACAGAAAATCGGAAGACCAAAGAACACGTTGCGCCGGGAAATAGAAGCAGACATCGAAAGGATGAATAGAAACTGGAAAGGAGGGTTCAAGGGTTGGATGGAGAATGCTGGTGGGTGGCTTATGCTCTTACACAGAGTGTGACAGGTGTAAGTAAGCACGTATTGTTGCTAGCTAAAATTAGGATCGTATGCGATATTATTTCTAAGTTTCACACCTAAAACATTTACCGTATAAACCAGTTTATTATTTGTAAAAGTGAAACATCTCACTCTTCTCTTTAGAGAGTTGACTTTCACAAACCACAATTCTGTGAATAATGTTTATCTAATCAGCCGTCAGAAAAATTGGATGGAAAATGAGTAGTAAAAACGAGTTTTGAAATTTATTCGCCTATCTCTCAGGGATGATGAACACTCGTTCGACATCCACCGGCTAACAGAATTTTAGCAACGATGTCTCGTATAGATATAGATAGTTATTAATCTGGATACTAAGGTTAGGATCTTTGTGGAATGATGCCAGTCCTTTACTTCTCAGAATTATATTGATTATTGCTATCTTTATTAAACTCAAGTATCTAAATGCAGATGTACTTTTAGAGTGTATAAAATCCAGTAACCACTTTTGTCAGTTGGTATTGCGAAAAACTTGTGTCGTTTTTTATTTCTACAAGCGTTCCTAATTTCATTATAAATACTGTTATGAGTGATGAGAGATATGTTTCGTATTGTTCACTAGGTTCCAAGTGACTTACTAAATGATTAACATCAATTTCCTTTTACGAATGTTGGATATTGCGCAATTTGTTTTAAATTGATGTTTTTCTCGTTTTTTTCCCAGCCTCTTCTGCAACTTTGCTGAATATTCGCAATGCACGCAAGCACTTTGAATATTTGGAAAAATTAGAACAACCACATTCGGCAATAGCTCGTTGTGGCTAGACACTTTCTTGAATCTCTTGAGATAACTTTTTGACTCAAGATCCCAATATGACTGTGTATTAAGTTGCTTATTTTTAATTTAGAACATAATCATCATAATACGTCAGTTGTTGTACAGATATACTTTAATGCCATCTAGTGAATTGTACATCTCTAAAGAGTTGTGATAGTAAACAAAGTACACATACTTCCCTATTTTACTAATATCACTGGACGAAAACTTTGTGTCTGTGAATGGGCTAATCATACCATTTTCATCTTTTATATAATCTCTCTTTACTGTTGTTGAATCTCCATCTTAACATTCAACTTTTGAAATATTTAACAAAATGCCCATCGTTTCGCATTACTCATTTAAGTGGATCGGCACATGAAAACAATTTCGTTTGATTAACACCACCTAAGTAATTATTCCAAAATAGTTTATATTCATGCTATGAAAATATTTAAACAGATTTTCTGATTTTTATGAGCTATTTTTCTAATTATGTAATTATCACAGGGGTTATTTTTCTTTTCAATCCTTATCTTGATTGTAAAAAATTCACATAATTATGTTGATAATTGATTGTATAATTAACCATCATTATTTTGTCTTCATGTCCTTACTAGGCAGGTACTAAGCTTATTCGGGGCATCAGCTTACAGGCCAGACCATAGCTGGTACCTTGACAAGGCAATTAGGCTTGGCTGTCGTGACGACCCAATAATTATCTTGTTCCTTGTAATTCTACGACACAGGAATGACTGAAGATGAGACAGGAAATGTAGAGTTTGAGAAGGAATTTGTGCTGCCACCTGTGCTGGGGTATGATGCCAGCAAATTGTTTTCGACAAATAGCCGACATCCCCCACGACGCTCCTCCCTCACAACGGAATGAAAGCGTTAACAAATATTTGTCATATAAACAGCGTATATCACCTTGCCCAACGAATTTCCTGCTCAAGTAATACTGCTTGAAAAGTAGAGTTCACACATTTGAAACTACTCATTGATAGCCCATCTGTATTTAACTCTTTAGCAGTTTTATTTTAGGTTCTGTGACCATGCTCCCGGCTCATCAAGTTTACCACTGAACCTGTTTTCTTTCCCAGGTACCTCAAGAAGATATACCGTCCCACATTATGGACTACCGAAAGGTGATATTATCCTCCTTTTTATTACGGCACTCAAACTCATCGTTTTCAAAATGAACTTATTTATTCCCAAATATTTCCTCTTTTTACTAGCAACCTTCTTCCTCTTCCATGCGTGTGACACCAGTGTTCAAGAAATGATATTCTTGGTCTACTGAAACCACCCTCCAAATTACATATTGGAGGCTTCATAGCTCGAACTCCATCTCAAATCCTCTAACAGGATTCTTTAGCTATGACTCTAGAATCTAGTGCGACCAATATACACTCTTAAAAACCCTAAAATATATAGACATAATGTTATAAGGGTCGGATTTTTAAGTTTGAGCTCATATTGTTCAATATCGGCCAAATATGTGGGGAGAAGTAGACGTAGTAGAGGAAATACAAGTGGGTAATGGATATCGCTAGAGGGAAATAGGCATTTTAAAGAGAATAAACCTTTTGACTGCAATTAGACATTAACACCTTTGGATACCGGCTCAGTAGACGAGAGGTTAAGCGTTCGCGCGCGCCGCCGAAGGTCCCGGGTTCGAATCGTGTGTACGGAATTGTGGATTTGAACTGCTGTGGAGTTCCATGCTGAGATGAAACAGCCGTCCAGCGCTTCCATGTTTTCAAAGGTGGTCTAACATTGATCGGTTCATGATTTCAATGAGTCGGGAGAAAGTGATTATTCGTAAATTTCAGGTTATAGAATTCTTCCAAGGCCTGGAGAAACGTTTGAATGTCCAGTTTCTCCAAATTTACTTAGGTGGTGCTCATAGATGCACACTACTCGCCATAGATATCTCCGTAAGGATTACTCGCTTTGCCTAACTTTTCAGAGATTAATCATCCCAGAGACTCGCTTATCGATTTTAAATATCCAGATGGCATTAACTTTGATATGATGCAGTTCTAAAAACATTTTGAGCATGCAGAAATGCATTTCCGGGATGTATTTCTTTCACTCTAAATGCAAGACGGCCAGGTCCGTATTACCGCAGAGTGACCATATTGAGTCATTTAGTTGGGTGCGTTGGTATGAATTTGAAATAACGAAATAGAAGTTTAACAAAACAATCAAAAACTCAAATTCGAGGTATGCAGTATGAGATTGTGTTGTATTATTATGATAGGTTTAAACACAACATAAAATATTTAAATATACAGTAGGTGTATTAGTTATTCACCGCAGTTGACAACTCTACTTTTGTTATATCCGAACGGAGAACAAAGGAATAGTAACAACTGCCAAGAATTATTTATGGACTATCATATATTTTTATTAGATAATTATTAATTAACTAGATTATGTATGTACATTCATATTTCCTTTATCATTTGACCATACGACATACCATTCTTAATTTATTCCCAATCTATTAGTTGCAGTCTCCTATACTCACAGCCACTTTCGGCTTGACCTTGTATTATTATTATTATTTTTCATTTTGTGATATGATGCGTTCTGGTCTGCTTGTATATAAACCCCGTATGTTTGAAGTATTTGATTCATACAGCGGAGACTGACTTGTGTTCTGGACTGAACGAGCTGGATTAGGCGATTAGCTACCATTCAGAGTTGACTGAAGGCCGCTCGTGCCAGTCAGCGCATTATTGGTTTAGCACAGAAACAAAGTCATGGAGGCCGGTATTCTGATTACTTTGATCACGTGATATTTGAAGGGTCATATGACAACAACTTTTCTTGGAGCTTTCATCAAGCCTGGTGTCTGAGAAAATCTAGGGACAGATTGTGATGCATATCTGATTTTTACATACACGGGTTTACCATCAATAAACCAAAAAGAAGTATGCTAGGTGCCATCCATGTAATGAGTTAATTCAATCTGAAAGTAATGGGATTTCCGTATAAATGGCTGACTGTTATTATTTTATTTGCGTATACATACAATCGTTTGCTTGTAAATTATCGGAGTAATGCTTTACCAGCAATTAACAAGGATCAAAATATACAGTAGTTATTTGTTCGTCCCGATTATAATGTTTCAGTGATAAATTGTCGATTACTACTTGTCCACCAATAGGATAAAAAAACACGAAGTTCAGCGACGGGATCTCTTTCCAACGAATTTATTATCAAGCGGTACAATCGTATATAAATATGAAAATTACTAGTTCCGTGAGGAAATGTGAACAAGGAATAACAAAGATGATGTAGTAGAAAGATTATAATACTAGATTACGTGATACGAATAATAACATTTGACTTAATGAGTTAGTAACGAATTATTACATGAATGTAGTAAGATGATTAGAATGTTTTTGTTACAGTAATTGTAGGCAATTAAAGGTAATAGAGGAAGTGATATGAGCAATTATTAATAAAATAATGAGAATGTGATGCATAAGTAAAGGGAGAAATGCGATAATAAAAAATAATAAGGCCAAGGTAACGATAGGATGTACTTTTTTTGTACGTATAGTTCTGGCTTGAGGTCATGGATAGTAAGAGCTTCGGCTATTTTTTGGAGTTGGATTCGAAATCTAGTTAGATTTAGACGAATCGTATATGCAACCTTAAAATCAAACTATGAATCAGTAGAATGATTATAGTCGATTATATGTTCAAATATGAAACTTGTAACTGTTTTCCTCTCAACCTTGTAGAACCACATTAGGAAATGTTCCCATGTCAGTTGTAAGCGAGCGCTGGCTACAGCCAATGTACCTTACTCCACAAGAGCAGGTAAACTGGTAGATGTTGCACATTGAGGCAACCAGACGGGAAATCTTATCGTTTATGGATACAGAAAACAAGCTACTACTTGTGAACGTTATTCTCTTTTGCCGCATAATGTTCTTTTTGTCACTGTCGTTAACCGATTTTTGATTACATCAGATGTTCGGTCACCTCTAAATTCCAAATTTATATGGTTTTTTATAAACGAAGCAACCGGATTCCGTCAAAACTACTCTTCATATTCTTATCTATGAAGCGGTCTGGATAGTGATTTCCCGTTGGAGTCTTCCTGAGGAATGATAGTTCTTCCTCAATGCATTCTGTATAACATATCCGATGTACTCGGTAAATAAGGTTTCTCTTTCTGCTTAAAGGAATTCAGCTGTAGAATTTGGTCGGATGGCCATTCCATGTTTGTAGTCAAAATATGGATCTTTTTAAGGGACTCTTCCTCATCGCTTTCTAACGTGAAGACTAGCATGTGTCAAACGAGTGTACGATATCTCCCAACTCAATATTATCGTCACAAATGTGTCGTCCATGTATCTTACGTATAGATGGAATCTATTAATCATTGAACTTAATTATGCAGTTTTGCCATAAAACAGTCTGCTCAAATTGGACCCCATCTCTTTGTCTATATATTTCACTGTTGAAACTGAATCGGACATTAAAGGTACAACGTAATAGTAGTTCTTTCTAGTGGTCAGTTGGCAGACTTAGATCTATGTTGTTAAAACCACATATATGGCATATCGTTTCAATTAAAGGTACACTAGTGAACAAAGAATTAACGCCACACAAGAACACGTGTTTTCCAAAGTATTAACGTCCTTAACACGATCAGTAAATTAAAAAGTATCTTGAGTAGAATATTTAGATACTTGCCTTCTAACTAGTTCCAATTTTTTTCATTAACCGGTAAGCGCGGGGTGGTCGAACCCGTTGGACGAATGTGATCATATAAGTCTGGGGTTATTATCCTCTTGTTCTTAAGATTTTAACAACATTGTACAGCTTGATAATAAATTCGTTGGAAAGAGATCCGGTCGCTAAACGTCGTGTTTTTAATGTTTAAATGGGAATTGTCTATCCATTGCAAGAGTAAAAATAAATGCAGTGCTTACATTATTTAAAAATTAACCATCATATGAAGTGTCTCACGCAACAGTTCTCAGAATGAGGTACACTTTTGTTACGGACGCCTGTCACACCCTGTGTAAGAGCATAAGCCACCCACCAGCATTCTCCATCCAACCCTTGAACCCTCCTTTCCAGTTTCTATTCATCCTTTCGATGTCTGCTTCTATTTCCCGGCGCAACGTGTTCTTTGGTCTTCCGATTTTCTGTTTCCCTTCAGAATCGAAAGTTAGCGCTTGCCTCATGATGCAGTTTGGTGATTTCCATAATGTATGTCCTATCCACTTTCAGCGCTTTTTCCTAATTTTCTCTTCAGTTGGAAGTTGCTTTGTTCTCTCATACAGTAGGCTGTAATTGATGGTATCTAGTCAGCGGACATTCAGTATCTTGCGTAGACAATTGTCTATAAATACTTGTATCTTCCTGATGATGCTTCCAGTATTTCTCCAAGTTCCAGTTCCGTACAATAGAACTATCTTGACGTTCGCATAAGAGATTCTAACTTTGATGTTGGCTGACAGTTGTTTTGAGTTCCATACGTTCTTCAATGGTAGGAATACTACCCTTGCTTTGCCGATCCGTGCCTTCACATTTTGTGTATGTGAAGCATTTTATTCTTCATGACTAGAGTAAAACAGAGTTTCTACTGAACCTTATCTTTTCTGCCCAGCTTGGGTCCAGTGGGTTTTACTTATTCCGAGCACCTCCAAGTTGTATCTCCTCAATTCCGTAACTATTTGATTAGTCCTCACTGTCTCCCACGTTGTTCGGACATTCCATGTACCTATATTAATTGTTCCTCTGGTTGTTAGAATGGGCATCGGCCTCGTGACTTCCGAATAATCTCGGCATTTAACATGAGGCGTTATAATTCTTCTAAATGAAGATCCTTCAACTCTCAAGGCAGAGTTCAAATTGTTAATTCTGGTTAGCGCTTTTTAGCAAGGCATTAAACCTAGAAGGGCGGAGTTACAGTGATGATTATGATTGACACTTAAGCCAGGATTTATTATGCTGAACTTAAACGATATCAACTACTGACTGTCTTGTCAACTTTGGTATAAAATTTCAGTTATAACAAAAGCAATTATTGATGTTAGAGGTGTAAAAGAAATGGAAACAAAAACTTCATTAATAAGAAATGTACACAATCATAATTTCTCCAATTTAGTTAGTTGCATTAGTAAATAAATTTGTAAGACCGAAATCGTTTTCAATATGAGATGTATCCCTTTTCTCACGTATACGAATCCACTTGGGTCGGTGCAGAGGAGGTATACTGTGTATTTGGAATTCATTACGAAAACGTTGGCTGAGAGGAACCTAAAACGAAAACAATGTGTTCAATACAGCATATAACATGGATCAGTGTTACCTCATTTTAAAAGAACAACTATTCCTGTTTCCATATACACTGAAATAGAGTGGAAATTTCAATTAAAACCTAAACTACATACTAAAAGGGAAAAATGGTGAATGAATATTACAGAATCCTTTTTGATACCAGAATCAGATTCCTGCCAGTCTTGTAAAAGTACTCTGCACTTAGAACGTGCAAGGCAAATATCATACCTACGAACACTGATTGTCAACTGATTAAGTGCGGATTGCATGGCTTGGGTATCATAGCACAGTAAGATATCATCCTCATACTCAAGATTGAGACATTTTTCTCCAGGCAACAGATCCACACACGTCATCGATGGCAAAGTTGAGGACAAATGGTGAGGTTGAGCAACCCTGTCTAATACCACTGCTTGAAAGGAACAATTGAGAAAAGTGGTTGTATGCCTTCACTCTACCAGAGGTGTTTGCATATAGGGCTATTAAAATGTTAATAGACTTCTCAGGGACATCCTTCATCAATAGACAATCCCAGAGGACAGTCCCGTCCAACAAATCAAAAACGGCCCTAATTTCAAGAAACACTACGATTGTTGGCTTGTGATAAGTAGGAAGGTGGTCTAACATTTGGCGGAGGATGAAGATATGATCAATATATCCTCAGCCAGAACGAAAACCAACCAACTTCTCACGAGTCCGTCTTTCTTGTGTTTTGAACAATCTACGAAAAATGACGGAGGCCAAAAGTTTGGAGGTAATCGAAAGTAGACTTATCCCCGATAATTCTAACCGAAAAGATTTGAAACCTTTTCAAAGATAGGGACAACAATCGATTCATTCCATGATGTAGGAACACCCTATAATTGCCAGATGTTTCTAAACAACTCGGTTAGTTCCTTAACCAGAAAGTCACTAACATCTTTAAAAGGGCCAGAAGTAAGTCATCTGAACCTGGTGATTTGTATGGCTTCAAGAGTTGGAGTTCTTTGTGGACTTCCGCCTCATTTGGTGGATCAGTCGTCACCGGCTATGGAGGGCAGGACAGTCTGATTGATGTTGCCGGAGCAGCAGGCCAGTTGAACTGCCCTCCGAAAAACTCTGCTCATCTTCCAAGACGTCGATGGATGCTAGTGACTGGCATCCCATGATCCTCACATAATGCTTCGCTCACACCAGACTTCTTGCTGCCAGTGTCTTGGATGAGTTGAAAGAGCTTCCGGTAATTACCAGATGCAGCTGCTGCTTCCAGCTCATTAGCACGCTCCGACCACCAGGCTTCTCCGTCCTTACGCAAACTTTGCCCGATTTCATTACGTAACAGCCTTCGTTTGTGGTCAAACTCACGGCCACCCGGAGTGGACCGACGGGCTTCGATGAGTTGTAAGGAGCCCACTTGTAAGCGGGACGTTTTGCAAAGCTGTAAGCGGCTTTACTCGCCATTTTCATAGCGTCATGTAGTTGCAACCAATGCTCATCTATACTTTTCGGTGGAATGAGAGCTAGCCTAGAAGCTAGCTCGTTTCAATACTTACTTGCAACAGAAGTTGCAACCAACCTGCTGACATCAATCCTTTGGTGACGGTCACCTCGTTGGCCACTGAAAAGTAAGGTAAGATTGGCGCAGACCAGGGCATGGTCAGAGTCCAGATAGGTGCTCCAAAAGGAGCGGCAGTTTTTTTACACAACCACGCCAGCGGTAGCTCATCGCGATGTGATCAATCTGAGTCCAGACATGATAAATGAAGGACACTGGGTAGCACACCGACGATGTGGCGGTATTCAGTGCTAGCCAAAAACAGGTTGTAGTCTGTGCACAGTCGCAGTAGATGGTCCCCGTTGTCTGACGTGCGACCAAAAAGTTCCCATTGACCACCTAAACCACTCTCTTCTGTGTCTAGACGCCCGACCTGAGCACTCAAGTCAAACGCGCTTTCTCTAGAAGAACAGTTAACTAGCGGTAAAACTCAGCCTTGATCGCATCTGAGCTGCAATCTGTCGGAGCATAGGCAGAGATGACGAAAAGACATCGTTTCCCACACCGATTTTTTCTCAATTTGATGGAACTCTCTAATCTAACTGACTGTTAATGGTAATCCAATTGATCAATGCTGCCTCAGCTCTAGCGCTTAGTTCGACACCAATGCCTACAAAACCAGATGGAGATGCCACAGGGTCCCCAGATAAACGCACGTGAAACGAGCTTTTTGAAGAGACAGATTGAGAGCGAATTTGTAGTACTTCATCAGAGTCTTGAATACGGGTCTCGGATAGACAGCAAACATCGATATTAAGACTTTCTAAAGACATAGCCAGCCCTATCTGTTGTCCAACCTGCATTAGTATGTGAAGGTTGAAGGCAGCCAGTCTGAATGGTATACGTGGTTTCAGTATTCGCATTCGGTGGTAGCATGCGATTTCCAACTAGTCTATGACTCGAAATCGTTTAGATAGAACATAGTTTCCACTATGGTTGAGCTGCTATGTAAGTTGGAAAATAAGGATACACGAAGTTAGAATAGAAGAGAGTAGATAAGTGACGTAGTATATAAAAAAATAGTGAATGTGAATTGTCCGAATTTTAATTGAAGCGAGAATAGTATTTTCAGAATTAATTGTCATTACATTTGATTTGTATGTGGGCTGTGATACAGCCCGGGTGCCCAGACGGAATCAGGTGGTTTTCTTAGGGGACCACACCCGTATCCCTTCGACCCAAAGGTCTGACCCATAAGGCGATGGAGTAACGTAAGGAGATGCAGCTCCATGGTAGCCAGTGACCAAATATTGGTCCATACGCCATTTGCTACCATATGATTCTTGAGCCCATGTGCATCATTGTTTTGGGATCAGGGTTTCCCAACTCCTCTAGATGGACCCTCCGTGCCCACCAACGCAGTTAAAGCGCCAAACATTCACTTTTCGTCCTCTCAACTTCGCAAACAACACTCGCGTCGCGAAAAGGTAGTGAATAGGACTTCTCTGGCAGTAGCTGTATACGCGTGGTCATGTGAGAGCATTTCGAAAGAGAGAGCGGACTCACTCCACCGTCGGGTGCACCGGGGCACGTGAGGGGGAATCTAGAGGATTCTGTATGCTTATTTCTGTAAAATGGAAGTACACCTGTGTTGTTCAGTTCAAGAAGTCTTAACTTAATATACTCCAGACCATTCACGCAATACGGAAAATGAGACATTATGACGGCTGAAGTGAAGTTTGTTACAGAAGAATTATGAATGGCTTTCTATTTACACTTCGAAATAGAAAAAGTTTTGAAATGGTCATAAAAAATCAAATGATAGAGTCAGAAAACAACTTACTCCAATAATAGGGTCGACGATTTTTTTAAAAGCATCACGCCTCGCCCGCATTGTTGCCGGTTTGTCTCGGTTACCAAACATTTTTTCCTCAAAAATCTAGAATTTGTAGAAAGTTTGTAACGGGGAGTTTTTCAACATGTGAAAATTCTAAACAAAAACTGATTACTGTAATAATATGCAACTCAATTAAATGTTCTTTTAAATACGTAACTATCCATCTTCGCAATATATGATATAAACGTGGAATTATTATAAAAGCATGCTGGACTACACATACAACTGCATGTACATTGCGGAAAAAGTAGTTTTCATTGTTATAGAGGTTTTTTTCGATGTTTTTTTTAAATATGTTTCGTTAACCTATTACATTTTTAATTCAAGGCTATCAGGGGTTAAAATTCTTCACAATTTACGCAATTTACGATACGAGAATTTTTCGTGTAAATTTCTAAAAGGATACTGAAAACAGACAATCTACAAGGTGGACATTACCTGGAACCTACATAGAAATCTACAATAGGAATGTTAATGTATGGTAGGTCACTTCAAAAAATATATACTATGATTAGACACTTTATGGTAGTTGAACGCTTTTTTCCATTCATACATAAATGGGGCAAACAACTGAAAAAATAGTAAAAATTCTAGAAATGCAACAGAATCAATCGAACTCCCAAAATTATATACAGAATATGTTGATGATGATTAAGATCTACATTATGATGATTTTGCAGAAGGAAAAGAGATGACAATTTTACGAATCAAATACAAGAACGGTATAAATGACGAATAAATACACATATGAAGAAATGTGTACCAAATACTAGTAATGGGATATTTCAACATTCAGTTATATAGTCATGAATAGAATAAATAAATCATAGAAATTATTAATAACAATAGTAAAACAAATACATTTTCACAGAGAACAAAAATACTGACTTGAATTTGTTGTTGTATTTGGCCTTCTTTAGTTTTATCACCATTTAATGTATCCATTAAAACGCGAATTATAACAGATCGTAAATTTTGTCTGGCCACAATAATATCCACAGACAGATAAGTTTTAATTCCAGCATATAATAAACAGTTTAAAGCATTTTCAGCATTTTTACCATTTACATGTAGACCACATAAGATTCCGAATAAAATAAATTCTGCAATATTAGGAGATAAATGTGTGGTAGCAATTTTTGGACCACAATTAGTCTGGGTGACGGTATTGGTCAGCTTTCAAAATGAATTGTCAAAAAACACAGATGAAAGTAGATTTTAATTATCGGTTTTACATATAATTATGGTGAAGCTGATACAATAAGAAAACTAGCCAAACTTTATTTAATTAAAAAACGTACTAATGCGATGAGGGAAGATCAAATGCAAGGGGTTGGTAAGGCTTCATGGAAAAATTGACTACTCACTAATCAAAATATCACTTACATCAACCTATTCAGTGTAAATCAACAGACAGATATGAATTAACGAAGTCACCATTGAGCTACATATTAGATATGAGAACAGGTGACATTATTTGGTTCCTAAAACTGGAGCACGCGGAGCAGAGTTTAAAATGATAGAAAAATATTGGTGTTACAATGCAATTCATAAAAACCTGTAAATTTCTGCACCACTATAATACCAGAGAAGATTAAATACGTTGAACATTTGTTGTCTAACCTAACCAGAAGAAAATGAATCTCCTTATCGAGTTATATCGTAAGCAATGATTGGCATCAACTGTATAGTAACAGATGTTTAACTCTATCATTATTCGTTGGAAGCTGCAACCTTACGTTTTCTGCTGGTGAGTATATGATGATATTACTGCACTATCACGTTATCGAATTTTTGAAAACCGATCAAATTTAATAAACCAACTTTGCAGTGCAGTCAACTAGACTAAACATTTAACATCAAACAAATAGCATCAAGATATCTAGTTGGTAATCCTAGCGTAAAAATGATCCACAGAATTCGATAAGTAATAAAAGCTGAATATGACAGGGCTTAGTAATTAACGATTATAGCACCTCACGTGCAATTGAGTTTGTTCTCATTTAATTCGGTCAAGCCCTTTTGTTAACTTATTTGGCGGACAGAGTCGTCCCTACTATAACAAATTACTGTACCTTCATTGTTGTTGTGCTTGTATGAAATATGTATGCTTGAACATTGCTTACATTTATTCCTACATACTCTTTCGGCTCGCTGACTCACTCATTCGCCTCTCTGCTTTGTGGTTTGAGTTATCTGCTAATAAAACTGTAGTCGCTGCTTCTCTTTGCCTTCTGATTTCAAACACCGTTGAGGATTATATGACGATTACGAGGGTGATTGGTTAACGAAGCGCAGCCACTACGCGACAACAAAACGACTAGCGATACAAAATAATTTCATGATAAAATTTCTGACTAAAAACACCAAATTTCATGGTTTTCCAAAAAACTAACCATCTCAACTAGAATTGATATCCATTGAGCAGCTTTCGAGCAAATTGAAGTATCAGGCCAAGCTAAAATTTTCGTCAATGAACGTAAGAACAAAGGATCTGAAGGAAGATTCTGGGCATTATAGTCTGGTTCCGATGACATAACGTGCATATTTGCCAATAATTTTGTTAAATGTCCAAGTGAACTATTTGTACCCGACTGACCATTTGCATATATACTTTCTGACATGTCTACATCATCATTATCATCATCGCACTCTCCATCATCTTCCTTGGGAGGATTAAATTGTTCAGATATTTCATAACCATTGAAAGTGTAAATCAAGCCTAAAATAAACAAAAACAAATTAATTTAATAATCATACCAAAACAGATATATGAACGAATGCTCTTTTCACTAAATGTTCATCAGGTTTTATAGTTCTAAATGCAAAACAACGATACAAAGTAATGGTCAAGTTTCAATCAAATACATATTTGCAATTATAGCATGCGAATTTAAGTTTATTAGTATAACAAAGTAAAGTTACCAAACGAATAGTTTCACAATATTTGATCGCTGAGTTGATGTGAGACATCAAGGAGGAAGAATGTATTTGTAAAATCACAGAATGAATTTGAAGTAAATCCAACGTTTCGCTTGGCAATTTGGTTCAATCTCATTCTCTGAGATTTTACACATACATTCTTCGTCCTTAAATTTATTAATGTTGGGATGTATAGTATCCAATATTAACTTGAACAGGTTTATATGTCAATTGAAGTTGTGAGATTAATAATCGAAGACTAATATAATATAAATGGAGTTAAAATAAAAATTTAATTACAAACTGAATCAAATGTTTAATTGAAAACTGTTTTTAGAAAACAGAATCAATAGTCCAGATATTTTGCAAACAACTAAGTTTATGTAGTAGAATAATTTATTGAAACGAAGTGTAATTCTGTGTACAGAATTCTGTATAAGTTTTTCTAGAGAGATATCATACAGAGTTGAAGATAAAAGAGTCCTATTTACCAAGAAACAGGTGTTGAAAACACACGGATTAGTGGTATATTTTTCAATGGTTTTACTACCCTGAAATAATCGATTCTTCAACGTCAGATGTTGATATATTCAAATTAAAGATTTATAAACTGAAGAAAGGTAAACCATAAAATCCCTTTTTTAATACTAAATATTATATCACTAGCATCTAGACTTAATAAATGAATAGGTAAATATATAAAAATGATTATGGAAACGAAACAAGCTTATAATAAATTAACATAATAGATAAAAATATGATTTTCTAGGTTGTCTTTTACAGGTTAACGAAATGAAAAATGGAAGTTAGAGTTTATATGCTTAATATATACGATCTTAAGCTATATACTAGTTTAACTTGTCTATTAAAAGAAATACGCGAGAGTAAATGTATTAAATTTAAAAACTTCGTCCTAAACGATTAACTATGTGTTATCGAAGTAGAGGGAGAATATTGTTGAAGAGACAAATAGAAAAACATTAAAACACACGAGAAGCTATATGTTAATAGTATAAACTATATGATTTTATTAAATATTAAACAATTCTAAGATGTTATGAATAAATGGTTAATAATGTAACAACAAACATTCAATTGGCTGATGTGTAGTGTCAGTTAATATGTCAAGCACATGTAACTGATTCTAACTTCTGGACAGGCCAATTTATTCATTCTTCTTGAGTCACGTTTTGACCTTGTTAATTACTCACTTACCAACTTTGAATGCTTTTTATATGAGTATTGTGTGTGTACATCTTATCATAGTCACCACATGTTTGTAGCTTATTTTTGTGCGACTATAAATATTGATTACCGCTTGACCAAATAGAGTTGGCTAACACGCCTTTTCCGTCGCGCGTCATTTCGCTTTACTCTTTTCTCTTTGCTTCGTCCCTCTGATTTTCTGTTCAGATCAGTGAGTGTACAAAATATACGTATTCGAAATCCATTCTTGTATTCGGCTTATTTAATTCCGTTATTCACTGAGGGGATTTAAGTCGATGGTTATATAGGAGGATAGGCGACATATATATTCCGACGACAACCATTCATATTTAATTGTGTCCCGACCGTTGTTGCTACCTTGACGTGATGGTCAGGCTTGCCTATCGTGATGAAGCAACCAAGCTTTACTGGCTGGAACAACCGTTCCCCAAGGTCGGTTGAAGAGCGGTAAGACTAAAAACAACAAACCCAAGGTCCGAAGGCGAAGTCGTACTGCTGACTGTACAGAGGTGTGGCAGTAGTAAGGTGTTTCCTTCAGACAACCAGCATGACAGCGATGCTGCCTTCCCACAAGGAGGGGTGGGGTTAGAAAAGGTCGACCCTAAAAATGCACACCTCGCCTTAACCCACGGATATCCGTCTCCGGCGGTAAGGTCTCAACAAGTACGGAGCTAACACAAAAATTATCCATAAAAAGGTCTTGTGTGGCCGACCTCAAGCAGTTGTCCCTTGGACACTGCGGTCACGCTCCCAGGTTACTAAGACCACCTCTAATCCAATTCCCTCTTCAGGTACCTCCAGAACAACCCTTCCACGGTGTGGGCAACCGGAAATTGATAACCTCTAACAACGCTCAAGACATTCATACGATATAACCAGAATCAGATATGGGGCCACAAAAGTGGTAAGCCTATCGACAACATCGTCCAATCTAATTGACGTCTAAATGTATGGCCCCACTAAAGATGGTAAAGATCAATAGCTTACGCAATATATCCAAACACGTTCGACTTAACAGACGAGTTGATCTGTCTAGTACAAGTTCAGCTGCAACTGCTTTTTCGTCATCACAGATACGTCCTCTGAAAAGTAAACAATTTAAGATAAAAATTATATTTTAAAATCGATTTTGGTATTGTTCAACAAAAAATTATTCATCTTATTGATTAAATGTGAAACATGACTAGGATTCAAGATAAATTAACGAATTAAATGTCCTATATCACACTGATGTAACCACAAAACAGTCGACAAAAAACGTGAATATCAGGGGTGATCTAGCTGCGGGTTCATGAAAAAGAACAATTTCCAGTTGTCATAAATTAAGATCTCTCGTAACAATTAATTGAAGAAAAATCTTCTCGTCGTAATTTTTTTAAAAACAAAACTCTCGTGGTCAGTATCCTACCTATTAACCATTCAAAGAGTGATTCATTGAAACAGACTAAAAAGCAACATTTTACTTATTTATACAGAGATATGCTAGTTGATCCAACAAGAGTCATAAACGTTTTCTCGTCGTCAATGTCATGAATGACAAGAATACCCTAATAAAGTTAACTTATAAGGTAGAAATTTTGTCTAAAACGGTGTCTTTGTTTTGTGTCTGTAGTCAAGAACGTACAAATAATTTTAATTTTTTCCATTTTACAAAATTGCGTTACGCAGATTTCTAAGACCATTTTGGGCTATTTTCATTTATTCACAAGTAGATCATATGTAGTCTATAAAACAAGTTCATTCGTAGGTTTTTGAATTTTAATTTTAATTAAATGAATTAAGCGGAAATATAATCAGAACAAACATGAATGTCTGAATAAAGAAACAGGAATTGTACACATAAGTAATAAAAATTCATATTCTGTCATCATAGTTATATAATATTTGACATTAGATTGTGGGAATACGTAAACATACTCGGCCATGATTAATTCATTCCATCTTGCTTCAGTTCTCTAAAAAAATCGAAATCGAATCATTATGAGAAATTTATATAGCTAAGTTAGTTTACAGTTAACTGGATATATAGTACTAACAGGTTCATGAAAAATCCAGACGAAACAATTCAGTTGCTTAAATCATTGTATACAAATATCATTATTATGATAGATTAAGATTATCCCGTTAGTCATATTGTTGACTTAATTTTGATCAGCCTTAATTGGGATATAAGCAGCTTGTTCAGATAGCCTTAACAAAGAAATTTCCCGCAAGGTTTTACGGAAGAGATCAAGGGCAGTTAATAGAATCCAAAGTGTATGCTTCGTCCTTTTTGGGATTCATCAGCTGTGATAAACATCACTGCGGTGAAGGTACATTTTGTTGATGAATCCCAAATAATATGGAACGCGCGCAGTGGATTCTACTGGTAGCTGGAACTGATCTCTTTCATACAAACATTATATACAAAGCACAATTAAAACCTGAAACATGCGCTCACTGATATGTAATAACAAGGTTTGAGTTTTACTTGATAATAAACTTTTTGAAGAAAGAATTATTATTATATGTTTAATCTAAAGTATAAGTTAATTATAGCACGCTAAAATTTAAAATCTTTGAGAATTTGGTTGAAAAATTATGGGCTTAGAGAAGCTCTTACGAGAATAAAATGTCACAACTTATCAATTCAGGTAAACACAACCTTTACGTCAGTATGAGAATAAGTGATTGCATTTTAGTGAAACATTCAACTACATTACTACACTCACTTTTTTACTGCCAATTTAACTTGGATATGACGAATTACCTTGAAACTTTACGATTAACTAAAAAAGTGTATTTAATCTCTACTCCCTTAAATATATCCAAATTAAAGCTTGGTTATGATCATTTAAAGCGGTAAAGTTGAAAATCTCAATGAAATGAAATAAAATGAATCCTTAAAACTTTCTATGACAAATGCAATCGGAAATTTTATTTGAAAGTAGTTTACACTAAAGACAGATATCGGCTGAAGAATTAGGGTGGCACAGTTATTTGGTCATAGCTTTTTAAGGCTTCTAAGCAGTTAACACACATATGTGCACAATCCTACACAATACCGAACTTATGTCAAATACAATGTGCTTAAACTAATAATCCAGAATTCAATGATCTAAACGGTCAGTCTACCAGTTTTACCTATTTACGTCATAGGTTTATTACACGAAGTACATACTTTATGCTTAGCATGATGTTTTTATCCAAAAAGCAATTAAATAAATGGAGGTGATTTCGTGAATGATCCGTCTAATCATGTCTGAGATGTGAATAATCCTGTGAGAACATGAGGATAGTAATGATCCTACCTTAATAGCAGCTTCAATTACTGGTGGGACCAAGGGAGCGATGGCAGTTTCAAAATACTGTCTAGGACACTGACGGATAAATGGACGAAGAATAGATCCTAGGTTAATTGACGACAGTTAAGAAAAATATAGACTGAGGGCATTTGAAGATTTTAGTGCATTAAATAGGATGAATTTAAACAATTATATCATATAGGTAGCATTAAATGAAAACATATTCTTTTTAGCATGTGTTAACCATACATGTCATTGATAAAATTTAACATTAATAATCAACCGACAGTCTCAATAACTGGAAAATTATTAATATGGATGAACTATCGCAGCTGTTTGTGACAATATAATACCACAAAACACTTTAAGAGGTATACATTCTTTGTATATGGGATAAATATTAGTTACTTTATCATTTATAGCTTTTCATTCGCATATTCGAAGCTCGGATAATGGTAAAGAATCGTGATCCCAAAGTGGTTTTATTGAGCAATGATATGTTCACATCGAACTTAGTAATAATAATAATAAGAAGAATAAGAATAATGCAGTATTTTTAAAGGATACGTAGAAGACTATTTAGCTTGAGGTCAGGCAAATGTTCAAATGCAGCACAGCAACCATCGTGCAATGCAATTCTTAACTGTTCGGTAGGTAAACGATAGAATTTCGACCCCAACGAAACAAATAAAAAGCCAACTATCCCCATTAAGTTCTCATGACAGTCATTGAGAAAAGTGCGCAATCGGTGTAACGAAGGATTCGTAACATCTACAGACTATTAAAAACAATAAACAGATAATAAATACATACAGAACGGGATATAGTATGAGGGTTTTGTGGAGCTTGTTACATTTTCATAGATTAAATTACGAAACGATATTAGCTGGATCATGATTGAAAACCAAGAAGTACTAGAAAACTGATTCGTCCTGATACGAAACACCTCATCAGTGCTCATTTATAACCCCGCAATCGAGGACCGAACGAAGACCTTCGAAAATGTATACTTCTGGATTCCAGTTTAGTGGTCTAGAGGTTAGGCGTTCGCATACGAGACCGAAGGTCATGAGTTCAGTATCTGACGCCGGAGCTGTGAATGCGCACTGTTAAAGTGTTCCACACGAAAACGAAAGAGCTGCCCAGTGCTTTCTGGCTTACAGTGGTAGTCGACCTAAGGTCAGTCTGTGATTCGATCTATAAGAACAAGGTTTCTTCAGGTAGAATAACGGATAATATTATTAGTAAAACATTCTTTTATGGGCAGTCGGCGAACTAAAACCAGTCCCTGAAACTCCACATTCAGCTATCTCTGCAGTATACTACAACAGTAACCCACTGAAGCTAGAGATTAATAATTGGTTTTATAATATCTAAGATATTTACTGTTTAGGGAACGAATAAATCAACTACCAAGGAGTGAATTCACGCCATATCTCACCTAATTTTGTGAGCAATAATAGTGTAGCCATTTTTGGATGTAAATCTTTTGCTGTTTCATAAGGTTCCCAATAGTAGTGTCCATACGCTTGTCAAACGCTTTTTCTCTGATGGTCAAGCAAATAGTCACACCTGGATACGAAGTGTAACCATTTTGTGAGAACACTGTACATTTTCTGCTTTCTAATCGTTTAACTAATATCAATGCAACTATTTAGTTAAGTGGAGTGATAAACATACATAACAATCTCAATTCGCTTAGTCCAACTTCATATGAATACAAAATCAACTCGTAAATCATTTTAAAGACAAAAATTGCTTGGTTTAATTTTATTTTACCATTTTTATTATATAACTGTTTCATACACATAGTTCTCCTTTCAATATAACTGTTTATTTAACCTTTTAGCAAACAAAAAGCGTAAATAATGTTAAATATTCTGTGAACAAGGAAAAACAGATACTCAGCCACCGTCTGACAAAATAATAAGTACGACTAATTACAAGGGAATATATGTTTTTTTATTTTACATCACTACTTACTTTGAGTATATTTTGAAATTGAGAATTCAGTAAACATAGTTGAATTTCATCTGTATGTTGTAATACAGGAAGTAAAGTTGGATGAACTAGTTTCAGTGTTTCCGGTAACCAAAGTTCGTTAAATGCTCTAAGTTACAAAACAATTCAGTAAATACGAATTAAAATTAATTGTGAATGAACATATTCACAAATATTGATGAATTACCTATAAAAGACCAAAAAGACAATTTATGATGGTACTTACCGAAGAACATGTAGAACTGGTGATAAAACGGGTTCCAAGATGGGTAGTGAAATATTTTCAAGCTGGGTAAATGAAACAAAATAGTGATGATGAAGGCCTTAGATAATTATACTGGATTTAACAATAATTAGTGTACATGCTACTTTGAACCTTCATATATATGAAACAATTGAGTTTGAAGGAATTTCATGTATCAACTTATTTTGAGTTAGGAGACAATTAACGAACCTAATAACACCTACGACAGTCCTATACAAACCGTTACATTTTATTATTGTGATAGATTACTGCTAAGGTGTGGTGCACTTGTTGATGTTCCAAGGCACAAAGATATTTCGCTGTGTACTACTAAGTTGATAAGAAGAACATGATAAAGCAGTACTTTGTGTTGGATAAATGATGTATGAACTAGTTTAAAAGAGCAGGATCAAAGTACCATCAATGTGCAGCCAAAAGTAGGAAAAAGATGAATAGATTGAAACTATAAAAACAGTGATCACTCATTACTTTCGAATAAACAGTATTTAGGTAAACTGATTTCGATATCGCTTGTGAATTTGGCTTATTTTTACACTTTCTAATAATTGATTGCTCAGGACAAATTCTTTTTCATTTGCGCTTCTTAAACATTGCTCTATAGGGGTAAACTGAATCGACTGAATACAAGGTTATAAAGTGATACCGAAAAGAAATGAATATTTTTATACATTGAGAATATCTAAATTTTAACTAGAGCTTCAACGGATTTCAAGATGAGTATGATGAATAAATAGTAGAATACCAAGTGGTTGAAGTGCTCGACTTTCAACCGGTAGTTTGAAGGTCCGAACATCATATCATCGACCTCGGTTTAAGCAACAAGACGGCATCATCAGTCACTACATATACCGCAGTATGAAGTTCAGTATATACACTTTTGCTCTGTAAATGCGTGTCAATATTGTATATGTAAATATTATTAATAAAATGTGGTTCGATAAACTATTCATATTGTTTGAAACAACTTTTAAACATAGGTTCATGGCCTTAAATCACATTTCACCTAACAAAGTTTACACACCAGGATAGTATCATACGCCACCACCAAACAGCGACTTTTTATTGAATTATTCTTATACCACTGAACCAGTTGGGTCTTTCGAGAGTATACGAATTATAAAAGCCTCGTATACTGCTAATTACTACTACGAGTGATTCATAAGTAATCTCAAAATATACAGGAAACTGGTAAGAGGAAAATATACAGGTTTGTGGAACTCTGATGTGATATACAGATATCGAAATACCTGCTGATAATTGCACGGTTCTGCGAGGCGTCTACAAACAGCCAATAACGAACGAACATTGTGGTTCAAATTTATCCGGGTTTGAACATATGGAGATTCAAAGTTCCCCAATTGGTCAGAAGGTTTATCAAGGCCTAAAACTGCGACTAAACCAGGTGCCCCAGATTCACATGAGCGCAATAGTTCTGAAAGTGGTGTCATGTTGTAAGGATCTTGACCACACCATGGACCATAAACATTGGCAAGTAAACTTTGAAGAAAATTGAACTGTACATTGATTGGCTGAGGAACACGAAAGCTTAAACAAGAAAATACATCAATTAGGACGACAGATCAAGAAAATCTGTAACAACAACAAATAAATATATCTCAATGGTACATGAGACACTCGCCACTTACCCAAGTATCACTAAAGCTTCTAAAAGAATACCTTTCTCCATACTTCCACAAATTTTCTCCATCCAAAGTTTATTTATTTCATTTAATATTTTATCAAAATAAGGCTACAAAAACAAATGAAATACTAAAATCAAAAGGATAATTAAAACTTTTCACGATAATCTAACATATAAACAGTCAATATATGATTATTCGACAGTAATGTAGATAAACTAATTATTTTGACAAAATCAATTTTCAGTAAACTACATAAACATAAAGAAAATCCGTCAACCAGGGTTGTATAAACCCCCATAATTAATATTCACTATAAGATATAAAAAGATCACGAAATCTTGCTTGTTGGTAAACAAAATATCAAATATATTTGATGTAAATCATAACCGTGAGTGGGCTATAGACTAGATTAAAGCGTGCTTCGTTCAGAATTGTGTTAGAGTCCCGACCGTAGCTGCTACCTTGACGCGGTGGTCGGGCTTGCCTATCGTGATGAAGCAACCGAGCTATATTGACTGGAACATATGCCCTGTAGGTTCTACCATGCCAGGCAGGTCGATTGGAGAACGGTAAGACTAAAAGCAGCAACTCAAGGTCTGGGGGCGAAGTTGTACTGACTGTAGAGGGGTGTGACGGCAGTAAGGTGTTTCCTTTAGACAACCAGCATCTGCATCGATGCTGCCTTCTCACAAGGAAGGAAGAGGTTAGAAAATATCGACCGTAAAAATGCCACACCTCACCTTACCTCACGGATTTCCGTCTCCGGCGGTAAGGCCCTTTGAAGAACGGAGCTAACACGTCAAAAACCTCCCACAAAAAGGCCGTGCGCGACCGGCCTCAAGCAGTTGTCCCTTGAGCTCTGCGATCACGCTCCCAGGTCGTGAAGGTCGACATTAATTTGACTTCCTTTTCAGGTTCCTCAAGAAACACCCTTCCACGGTGTGGGCAGCCGGGAAGTGACATCAGCCCTCATACCCGTAACAGCACATGAGACCAAGTTGGTCATATTCAAATCCTTCCTACACCTCCTAATACCTCTCTTATCTCCCCGACTAACCCTTCTCATGTCCGTTTATCACATCGCACCGCTAGGGCAAACGATTCGAGTACGCGGAACGTTATTCCTGGTCTCCTGAAACCACGCTCTAAACTTCATGTTGGAGTTTATAATGTCCGAACACTGTGCCAAATAGGACAACAGGCTTCCTTAGCTAGGACTTTAGAATCTCGCACCATCGATGTGTGTTGCGTCTCCGAAACGCGCAAACAGGATCCGAATAGCGTCATTCATTTGACATAACCATGTCAAAATAAAGAACCAACTCGATTCGCACTTCGTGTATCTGGAAGCCCAGATGCTGCTTCTCGTGGACTCGCCGGCGTAGGTATAGCATTGAGTCCTAGGGCAGAACTAGCTCTCTTAAACTGGATCCCAGTAGACAGTCGTTTGTGCGCTGTCCGACTGAACGGGACAGTAAGGATCCGAAAAGATAGGGACACTCGTCGTTGCCTCTTCGTCGTCTCTGCCTATTCTCCCACTGACTGCAGCTCAGATGATGTAAAAGATGAGTTTTACAGAAAGCTCTCCGACCTTCTCCGAAATGTTAGGCGCTCTGATGTAGTAATAGTGGCCGGTGACTTTAATGCTTAAGTAGGTAAACTAAGCGATAAGGAAAGACACCTGGGTGGATCTTATGGTGTCGTGGCTCAAAGAACAGATAATGGCGACTGTCTGTTGTAGCTATGCTCAGATAACCGCCTCTTTCTTGCAAATACTAACTTTAAGCATAAGTGAAAACATCTTTTAACATGGCAACCCCCTAATTCGTCCCAACGTTGGACCCAAATAGATCACATCGTTATCAGCCACCGATGGATGGGCTCGATAGAAGACTGTCGCTCATTCTGTAGCACATGCTTAGACTCAGATCATGCTCTAGTACGAGCGCGTATTTGCCTGCGTTTTACTGGACGTAGGAAAGACGCTGCAAGGAAACCTTTTAGGGTCCTATTTACTGATAGTCAAGCTAAGAGTATATTTCAGGAACAACTAGAAAAACAGTTAGGCAGCCAAGTAGGTGATGCCTACCCCAAGGTAGCATGGAATGATATCCGAAAAGCTGTGGAAACAGCAGTGATATCTGCTAGTAAGGTAAACCACAAGGTTAGGGAGCAACACTGGATCTCAGCAGCATCTATCGCACTGATAGATGCTCAGAAACTCATTCCACCTGGCTCTAAACATAATGAAGAGCGGAGTCAGCTTAAGCGCAAGCTGACAAGAAGTCTACGCAATGGTCGTGAACAGTGGTGGGTAGCGAAAGCAAGAGAGATGGAAAAGGCAGCGGCAATAGGTAATAGCAGACAATTGTTCAGACTTGTTAAGGAAACCGACTGTTAGCGAAACACTCTCAAGGAAAGATTGACATATTATACATTCTCAATCCAGGAGATTGGATCGATGGGCAGAACACTTTAGGAATCAGTTCAATTGGCCTTCAGCCACACTTCGGTTTCTCACGATCTCCGGTCTACCTGAATGGCAAGTTAATGTAAGTCCTCCGACTCTTTACGAAGTTGAAAAAGCTATAGGAAATCTGAAGCGAGGGAGGGCAGCAGACCCTGACAGGTTTACTCCGGAGATTTTTGAGGATGCTGGTCCAGTATTAGCAGTGAGATTAACTGAAGTCTTAGGTAGAATTTGGGAACTGGACGCAATCCCGTCTGACTGGTCTCAATCACTGATTGTGCCAGTCTATAAGAAAGGACAAAAGTCCTCTTGTGACAATCACAGAGGAATCAGTTTAACTAATATAGTGTCTAAAATATTAGCATCAGTAATAATTTGACGCTGAACTAAAGCTCGTGAAGAGCAGACTAGAGAAAATCAGGTTGGTTTTTGACCTGGACGTGATTGTATAAACCAGACATTCATACTACGTCAGGTCCTAGAACATAGACACACATTCAGACGCCCCACAATAGTAGTATTTCACGATCTTAGGGCGGCATTTGACACTGTTAATCGTGAGGTTCTATGGCAGTGTTTGTCATTGGAAGGAGTACTAAAGAAGTACATTAACCTTGTAAAGGCTCTTTACTCGAACACAACTGGTCGAGTGAGAGCTTATGGCGAACTGTCATCAGAATTCATTATCTCAAGTGGTGTTCGTCATGGCTGCCCACTCTCTCCATTCTTGTTCAACTTCGTCGTCGACGTACTTTTAGAGATAACACTTTCCTCGTCTAGATTTCCAGGGGTTGAACTTCTACCGAGATTCACTTTCTGACCTAGAATATGCCAACGACATAGTTCTATTTGGTGAAGACGCTGACAAAATGCAGTCTTCTGACCACCGTAAGCAACAATGCAAGCATGTTCGGGATGCGATTCTCCCCCTCAAAATGCAAAATGTTGCTTCAGGATTGGGTTGCATCGACACCCGAACTAATGATAGGGAGTGAAGTAGTTGAGCGTGTCGACCGCTTAACATATCTTGGAAGTCTCATCAGCCCTTGTGGTCTGGTGTGTGACGAAATCTCAGCACGGGTACAGAAGGCTCGACTAGCTTTTGCCAACTTGCGTCATTTATGGAGTAGGCGAGATATCCGTCTACTAACCAAAGGACGGGTTTCCTGCGCAGCAGTTCGTTCCGTCCTTCTTTATGGCAGTGAAACATTGCGGTAAGAGTAGAGGATATTCGTAGGTTACTAGTATTCGATCATAGGTGTCTTCGAAACATAGCTCGTATATCCTGGGACCACCGAGTAAGTAATGCAGTTGTTAGGAAACGGGTACTAGGTAAGGATGGCAAATCAATTGATGACGTAATGAAACTTCATCAGTTGAGATGACTGGGACATGTGCTACGTATGCCCAACCACTGACTACCTCGACATGCTATGTTTTACGGTGTAGGAGGTTGGAAGAAAGCTAGGGGCGGTCAGACCAGAACATGGCACAAACCCATGAAGTCACTGACAAGTAGACTGAGTCATGTTGGTAGGTCAAGACTACTTGGATGGGGACCGCGAGATGATAGCAACCGATGGTTAGAGACCCTGAATGACATGGCTCAAAATCGTTTGCAATGGCGCAGGTGCATCCTCTCTGTGTTCTTCCAAATTCTAATTTTCTGAATTCTTCATGTTCTTTCTTTCTCTTTCCAAATTTATTTCACTGAATTATACTCCTTGAATAACATCTTCAAACCTTAATCTTTCCGAGTACGGCTTATACTCTTACTACCTTTACCACTACGGGATTTGAATCGACAATTGTATTTGTGTGCTAATGTGGTATGGCAACTCGAACTGATGTACGTACGTACGTACGTACGAAGTTCTACGTTGTTACTGACTGACTGTGTTAGAGCACGCTGACTAACCATTTCTTAGCCAATCACAGCTAGCCGATAATTGTAGACTCTAGAATCTTCGCCTATACATTTATAAATATACTAACATTTTTCTTGCTGTGAACCTTGCTCTCATTCAACTTTGTTTGTTTGAAACATAATTTTGTTCCTGCTCAACCGTGTTCTGATTTTGGGGACTAGTCGAGTGAAGTAACGTGTCCTAAGAATAGTAAGCAATGAGAGTAGCTGCATCGTGTAGGAAAATCTTAACAATAATATACTTAATTTTGTAGGAATAACTGATAATACGTCACCAAACGTTGGCAAGGGCTGTGTTTAACACAATCAGATCGATCATTTTTGTTCTGTCGGTATTGTGTCAAATAATTATTATTCTACTTTAAAATATCTAAGCGACAGAAAAAAAGAAACAAATTCTTAATAAAAATCATACAATTAGATCATTTCGTAAAAGAAGTATGGAACTTACCATCATTCTTATAGGACGAGCACGAGTGAAACGAAGAAATGATGTTGCAGATGCTAAGTGCATAGTTTTAACTTGCCGTGGTCTATTTACAAAATCAAGTGTATCGATTAAAGATGGAGATTCATCCACAACAGGACAAGAGTTTAAAGATTCAAAAATCTAGAACATAATCAAAAGAAAGTAATTCGTAAGCCATATAAGCAACATCTCAGACTAAACTGCTACATAAAACACAATCCTTAAGTATTACGAGTTGAAATACCTTCAATAATCAAGCCCAGTTAGATGAAAGATAAGCTCCCACAACATATACCATCATATTATTGGTCAGCATTTCATTAATTAGGAATAAATTTTAGGCCAATAAGAAATCGCTAAATTGCTCTCAGAAAAACACTGATTAGTATTCTATTTTAATGAAAGCAGTGTTGCAAAGATATGATAGACATCACTGGTATGAAGTTCACAGTCAACGATTTAATATTGAAATTAACGATATAGGACACAAAATTAAGTAGTAATTCCCAGTCTACATAAAATAAGGTTCCTCCTACTCAAGGACATGGATGTATGTGTAAAGTCTAACAGATAAAACTTATGGTATTCATATCTACCACGAACGGAATAATTATAAATTATTTGAAGTTCGGTAGGTATCATAAACTAATAAATACCTCGTTAGTTCCTGATTTACTCTTCCAAACTACATTCTTCTACTTTGAGTGTCTGGAACAATTTTATCGTTTTTGGGAATATTCTCATCAGATAAATCAGAAATGAAAACAAATAAGAGTACATACGTGTCCTTAGTCTCTTTCAGCGTTTTTTTTTCAAAAAAAGACAAAAATTTGGTCTCACATGTTGCTAAACTGTCTAAATGTATAAATCTATATACAAATAAAATCTACTTGCATAAGAATGAATTTACATATTTAATTACTTTCAGCATAAAGGTTTCGGCATAATAGACGTTGAACTAGTAGTGGAACATTCTATGTAGGTGAGTCTAGGTAGCAATAATAGAAACGTTAAGCATTAACAATAACGACAAAAATTACCTTATTTAAAAAGGGTACCAGAAGTTCTGAATCATTATTTGAATCAACATGTTGTAATAGCATTGATAAACAAGCTAGATGCTTAGCACGAAGGAGTGGATCCATACTATTTGAAGATTGTAAAATCCCATGAATCAAATTTTTTACTTTTGAACTAACATCCATATCAATATGAAGAGCCTCCAATGATTGTTCAACAGCTGATAGACATGGTTCTAGAAACGAATCTAAAGCTTCCCATTCGAGTATAAGTGGTGAAGTCGCTAACAGGAATTTAGTAATTGGATCATAATCTGGAAAAGATAACAAAAAACACGAAAATACACTACGAAACGGGAGGTTTGATAAACCGGATAGAAAAAAGAGAGAGAAACATCCCGTAATCCACCCAAAATTAATAATTTACGTCAAAATGTTAATACAAAGCAAATTTATTGATTATATCTGTTTAAAATACCTTGACAGGAAGGAGATGCTTGGATTAGTGTTTCAATCCATGATATACACAAAAGTAAAACTTTTTGTGGCCAGCAAGACGCTCCAGCTGACAAACACTTCACTAAATCACTTCGGTATCCTGAAAAGAAATAAGTGAACAAATACCATAAAATTAATTTCAGATATTTAATTTGGCTACACCATACTTTCGAAGTTATTAGGACCTTTTGGAGGATAAATGTTTATTTGAAAACATAGTTGTGCTCTTTATATATGATTATTCATAAATAAGCATTCAAGTCAGTCTATGGGTACTGATGTAAAGATGGGAATCGTATTAATTACATAGAAGCTAGAAAAACTACTTAGCAGACCGCAACAAAGTAAGTTAGGTAACTTTCAAACCACAACTCATATGTAATCTGTTTACGATCACACAAAAAACACATGGATTACACTACTGTCATCTATACACCCACTCAAACACATATAAAAACATGTTTCACATAGAATCCTCGTTGCTCCGAATAAAATGACGTTAGTATGATCAGAATTGTTTGTATGTAATAAATGTTTAACCTAATTTGTTCACTGAATTAAACTGAAAAAGTAGTTACAAAGTTTATGAAGAAATACACTCAGTCACGAAATGTCAAAAATCCAGTTTTCTACCCATTGCGATATTGCAAATATATTTCTGTCTTCATTATCATAACTTAATAGTTGTAAGTCAAGTTTCTGGATCAATGAGACGTTTGACTAACAAAATTGAATAAAACTTAAATAAAAACGTTTATGTTGGACGACAGAAATATATGTATAGCTGGAAGAAAACCATACTACAATACATCCACATAATAGTTTCTCTCATAGCACTAAGAATTTTTAACTGTTTTTGGAATCAATGACATTTTGCTAAAATATTTGGGAATTCATATCCCGGAGAGATCTCAGTAGTTTAATAAATAAGCCAATAGGGATGGAATCTCCTTGTAATATTTATCATAGTTCAACAGATACTGTAGTGAACAAGAACACGAGTGGGGACAATCGAATGCATTTGACACGAAATTACAGAGCATCTCACTAAAATCTGAGAACTATATAGTAAATGGTTAATTTGCAAAATATCAATCCGTAGTCTCAAACTTGACTGTTCCTTTTCCAAATGTTAGTGTCCATTGTTTCAGGTTTCATTGTTCATGCATTTCCATACCAATTGCGTCCCGTTTCCGTTCTTTCATTATCGATCTTCTACTGAAATACATTCTATGCCTGGCCACCGTTATATACTACTTGTGAATATAAGTAGCTCACACCACAATACCACTTCAAGTTCCAAGTTTGCGAAACTACATACAAGCATCACTAAATTTGTGCATATACGGCAACTGACCAGGTTATGATATTGGGCACTAACACTGAGTTTGGTGAAGCTGCATAAATGCGAATGAGGTTGTGAAAAGCCACCAATTATCAGTTGGAGCGTTCTTAGGCTGAAGTGTAAGACATTTATGCATGAACGACTAACCATTCAGATAAGATAATTCATTATTACTTAGCTAAATTCATTTTGCTATTTCCCTATAACTGCTTGGAATGAAGTACAGAGGAACGATTCAATAGTCAGTTATGCAAGACCCAATTCATAGATGACAACAAGTGAATGACGGAAGTCATTAGAATATCGCAAGAGGTACTAAAAGATAATTGAACACATAACTAGCAGTTAAATGTTAGTTTAGGATTTCAAGTATACATTTTATTAATAATATTAGTCACACGGAAGTTTTCTAGATGAAATCGCCACTTTCTAAGCAGAACGCTATATTTTTTTCAACTAATATATTTAAATTGAATATAAAACTTCTTAAATTTTGGAAAATTTGTGGTACAACATGATTGGGTTATCTCTAGTGTTTGGAGTGTTCTGGTGTTATTTTCGAATAATAAGTTAGAGGCAGATGTTAGCCAATAAATTCAGGGACAAGAAAGAATGTATGTAACAAGTGACATGGAAATGATCCAGATAGGAGTATGTTCTCTACCATCTTTCAAAATTATGTACGTAATACTACCATATATATAGTTTCCTGTTCATTTATAAATTATATTTCCCTTTCCTAAATATCCAGTGATAAGCTGTTGAAAAGTATGGTCTTCATTGATGGATTATCATACTAAGACCTATGTTGTGTCCGCTTGTTAGTTAACTGCCGAACGATAAAAACAGTATGGTCTTGATGTTGGTTTGCTATAAATGATGAAGAATGTTATCTACTTAACATTGTAGTTCAATGATTGAGAAGCATTAAGGAAACTGAGATTGAAATTAAATCAATGCTTTTTCCTGTTGGTCAAGAAGGTAAGTCATACTATAACCAGTAAAACAGTGCCATTGCAATCTAGACATTTTTTCTTTACTTAGAACTAAATACAGTAAACTAAAGCGCAAGAATATCCAATTACTTGGTGAATTAAATTATTTGTCTTAAAACAATAATTTATTTAGTAGTATTTTCACAACTAAATAATCATTGTAGGACAAAATTTAGAAAATGGTAGCAATAGTGAAGTTCTCGAAATTATATCAGCTAATTCATTTTCTTTACAATAGTAATTAGTTTCAACTTACGGGAGAAAAAACTAGTATGATCATCGGTTTCGAAAATTCTTCGGTTCCACTCACTTTGAAGACCAGTACCAGATGGTTGACCAACCTAACAAATTAGCAATAAAATATAGTAGCCATTGTGGTAAACAATTAGTATAAGTAGACGCATTTACCGTATTTTGTAAATGAACTGTTGAAACAACTTTCAAATGTAGATTGACTACCAACGCTACGTGTGTATAACTTATCGATAAGATACTGTTATCGGCTTCATATGAATATAAATTTCACCTATGACTAATTAGTTTGATGAGTCATATTAATGAAGTGACTGTTTTCGAAAATGATACTTTCACCATTAATTTGTTTTAATAATCACACCAAGTCTCGCGTTATGGAAACAAGCTAAGATTAAAGTGAAAGCTCTCCAAGAGAAAGTTTACTGTGATCGCTTAAGAATATTAACAACTGAATGTCCTATCCAAAGTGTCAAACGAACTAAGAGAAGATTGTGTTGAAGAAAACTTACTTTTTCCTGTGTCAGATTATCAACTATTACCAATGAACCTGAAAGGTCTTTGCAGTCATATCACTTCTGATAAGGATTGACTTAATGTAACTCCGTAAGGTTTAGTCGTTTTGCGGGTGGATCAAACTGAAGTAAAGTCATAATGGCATATTTCAAACCCATGAAAATTAGTCACAAATACTTTTTAGACCCGCGCATGTCGATCTTAATAGAACAGCCAACCACTAACGGTCTTATGAAAATAATGAAACTAAGGATTTTACAGTACAGTTTCCTTTCGATTTTGGATGAACCTACTAAATAAACAAACAAAAGCTCAGGATACCTTTTATTTTAGTTCAACTTGTTTTAGTAATTTTTACATTAGTTAACAAGTTTGTTGGTGCAATTAATGAACTGAATTTTATAGACTATTTATAAATACTCTCCAATAAAACCCGACTTAGCTAATATGATTTAGTCACTGAATGACTTACTTTTAATGAATTCTTTCGCCAAATGCTAAATAAATCATCCGCAAACCTTTCAGTTAACTTTAGTAAAGATTTTTCGTCTGAACGAAGAACGGTGATCCAAAATTTGTTAGTGCACGCTGACATCACCTGGTACCAAAAAGTCAAACATTACACAAAAGCACTTATAGGAAAATATACTGTACATGAGAAAATACAGAAACAGTTTATATAGACTCATGCGTACCGATGTTAAAAGTCATAGTAAAGAACATAACAAGCTTAATTACAATTCCAAAATCCTCCAAGAACTTTAAATTTCTCTTTTCTAATATTAATAGACCATTTTCATAAAAGATGGATTTATAGCTGAACTAAGATTTAAACAAAGTGGAGAACTCGTATTATCAAATACTCACTGATAAATGTCAAAGACTCTTATTCCTGTACAACATGCATTTAGTAGTTCAGTTAACTATAACGAATTATTATTTCTTTGATTCCATTTGAGATAACATCACTCACACATATACTACTATTTATTGGTCTTTCAAACAATACATACTCTCATACATTTAATTTGTTGTTAAACTTGACTTTATGGTAACTCTGGGCGACTAGTATGATTCTCATCAGAACTCAAGGTTCATACTAGATAACTGTATTTGAATGAGAATATACACAACTTCAAATATCACAATCTATATTAAGTGGCGGACATTCACATTCAACATCTGAACATGACTAGACAATTTTTGGAAACGCTATGTTTACGACCTCATCACTGATTACCATTTTTAAACTCCAATCAGGCTGTCAGGAGAAAAGCTGAAGGCATTGGATCTTGATAACTAAGATTTCCATAAATTTAACGTGATTTCTAACGTTTTACATACATTTGAAGCCCAAATTCTTGTAAGATTGCAATTAAATTTTGAAAGAACTTCGCTTAAAACTAGAAACTTCTAAACTGTACAGGGGTCTCTTGAACTCTCTGTTATGACTTATTAGGCGTAAACTGAACACAGTATTATAAGCAAAGATGGATAGTGGCTAGCAGTGGAATCCAGGACGCGCGTTTCAAGTAAAACAATACCAAGTGAATTAAACTTCAACCCATTGCACAAGTAAGTGGCTATCAGGACTCAATAGCTAAGTGGATAACGCGATGGCGTTTGAAACGAACGGTACTGAGTTCGAGTCCCAGAGTGAACATCAACACTGAGATGCAGGTACATCCAGCTGACGAGTCCCAAACAAGACGAAACGCGCGTCCTGGATTCCACTGCTAGCCACTATCCATCTTTGCCTATAATGCTTGTAAATTAAGGCAATATCGAGGCATACGCACAGTATGCACATATGCCAATAAGAGACTGATCAATTTCAGTCCTAAAACGTCAATGGGAAGATTCAAGTAAAACAATACCAAGTGAATTGAACACAGTATATTATATTTTTACAGTGAAAGCTTTATATTTTCGCCAAAGACTAAATGTATTCATTCGTGACTGAAACTAAGCAAAAAATATATGTAATAGAAAAGTTTGCTTAGTTAATCGTTTAGTTACATTTGTTACCTTCAATATCTAAATACGTTGTATAAACCGTGGTCACAGATCTGACGCAATATGTTTGTATGTGTTTTACAATAGCTCAGTACAAAATTTATAGATCACAGTACACTACTTAGAACAAAATCAGCATTATTTATGGAAAGGTTATTGGTAAAATAATATTAAAAACTGATAAACTGAACGAAATATTTGGTAGTAAACGGCTATACAACACTAAACGTAAAAAATCTTTTTCCTGTTCAACCGTGTTTTGATTTGGGGACTTGTCGAGTGAATCGGTGTCCGAGAATACTAAGCAATAGGAATAGCTGGGTCAAGAACCGTAAGAAACCAGAGATTATAACAGTGGCGACGGGGAAAAACTTAAGAAAATAGAATTATAACAGTGGCGACGGGGAAAAACTAAAGAAAAATGGCGATTTCTTTAAAACAGTTGCGGTTAATATTACAGCACCAGCAGAAGTTGTTAGCCTTGCAACAACAACTATTGAGCACACTTTTCACTCGACCAGAAAATAAGAAATCTGTTTATGATGCAGTAACAGACATTTCAGAAGCATATCAAGTGGAGGGTTCAAATCCCTTTATACCTGAATCAGAACGTAATATTTGTAACGTTTCCGGCTCACAGCAAGAAAATACTGTGCTGAATGCACATGAAGTTGTGACAATACCAGATGATCAGGAGCCAGATCCTGTAGATGATGCCCAGAGTCCAGAATCAAATGAAACACTACTGGTACTGTCTAGCTGCGAAAATAAACGTCAGCTCGAACAAAATTGTGGTCCACGTGCTATTAGTCGAGAAAGCTATGGTGACTCGTATTCAGAAAATAACTGGAGCAACACGATGAACCAAATTGTACCAGATGTTACTCAAAATCACCGGAAGACAGAATTTTATATTGAGTCAACTTATCCCATTTCTAATGACAGTGTACCAGATATTGATTCTCAGAATAATGCATATGATTTTGATGAACCTTCTTATAACAATGAGGGAAATATGTCAGCTGAGTCGAATGATGGCCAAAAATCTAATCTAATTCTGTTAGACGTTGACTTTCTTAATGACTCGTTATCTGCTAACGAGATTCATAATGAATTTGAAAATAATGAACTCAGATCAAAGGTTGTTCATCATCATCTAGTCATTTTTAGTGGATTCTCCAGTCAATACGAGAAACATGGTTTAAATAAAGTCCTACTAGTTATAATTTGGAGCCATAAGGACCCAACATTATTTCGAGGAGGAGGAGAATGTTGGAGAATTAAAAGTTATGCATACTTTTTTTTAAGAAAAATCAAAACGCCGGGAACAGACATGTCAGTCTCTGTGCAAGGAAAAAGTGATAATTCTTCATTGCCTAGACGATAGACTAATCGAAAGCACAAGCTATTCACTCAGTTGCAGTTGGACCCTAGCACCAGATCCTACGAATCTGCTCAGAGGGGAGGTGTTAGCGGGACATAGACTAGACTAAAGCATGCTCAATGCATGATTGCTTTGGTGCACGCTGATTGGCTAATTCTTATCCAATCAGCGCTAGTCGATAGTTGGAGAATTTTCTGGATTCTTCTTATGTAAAAACTATAAATATACTGACGTTTTCCCCTATTGTGCTTCCTACTGGCTTCTGACTTGCTATTTGGAATATAATCTTTTTCCTGTTCAACCGTGTTCTGATTTGGGGACTTGTCGAGTGAATCGGTGTCCGAGAATACTAAGCAATAGGAATAGCTGGGTCATTAACCGTAAGAAAACAGAGATTAGATGTTTTTTGATCATAAAAAGACGGTGAGAACACGACAATTTTATTTTTTTTACTGCTTCACAAATTTAAATATTTTTAATGCCACTTCTATAAACGTACTTGGATTGGGTAGGCAGTCAAACGTAAAATTGCCTGGAAGAGATGTGATGGTAGGTTAGGACATTCACATACACCATTGTCCAAGCAATTGCAGAGAGCGGATTCATATGAATACTCCTTCCAATGGATAATCATATGACAACCAATATGGACTACAATATCACCAAATAGCCTTAAGAAGTTGTAACGTTCATCAGAATACTCGGGATTTTCGGATAATGTAGAACTAAAAAGCACAAGGAATATTTTGGCTCACTTTTAACGAGAAATAACTAAAAACAATGTAACTATGAAGCCAACTTACCATAAAACTTTTATGAGATTATTGCATGGAGATGAAGATCCCAAAGGCTCTTTCAGAAAACTGTCAGCTATAGTTGGGCCATATGAATCTGGAATTTCGGATCCCGGTTGTATTCGTCTGGATAGCAAGATATTTATCAAACTTAGAGCATCGGTTTGTAAACTTCTAATCCCAACGAGCGTAGTAATTAAACTCAGAAATGGCAAGGTGCGACTAAGGTTGAGGTTTTTGATAGCGATTTCTGAAGGGGTCCAAGAAGTCAAAACATTTAGACGACATGACTCTAGGAACCCTCCCAATGTACATAATGACTCACGACAGATGTCAAGTGAGTCGCAGTCGATGAATGAATCCTAATTTGTATTGAAAGTAGAGTAAATAATGAACATACGGCATTCGGGAGTCTGTTGACAATACTATCAAGTGCAAAAACAAATATCTCGGTCAAGTTGTCATTCAGACCTGTTAAAATATCACGCCGTCGAGATGGTGGAGCATCTTGGAATTGTATAACATCTTCGTACAATCTTAAGAATGAATTCAGCACTAATTTAGTTTGGGGAATCTAATAAGAGTAGATCATTTAATAAGAAACATACCCCTAATTTTCCAAGGGACAGGAATTCAGGTAACATAGTAGGCCATTGCTGAGGCCATTCACACTTGATGAGGAAAACGATAATTTGACTCAACATTAGAGTGAAAGCGCGCATTTCTTCTCTAGAAAACCGAAAATTATTTATCTTACTCAGTAAGAAATAGATAAGGCGTACTTCTCTTGAAAGTTTAAAAATATTTTGTTTCAGGCTGGATTTCGCATGAAACCCCATCTGACCCCAATGATTTCTAAAACTTGGATGTATGCTACGCGACAATACTTTAAGTAATGATCTAAACACTGAAGTCCAAAAAGTATGATAGCAGAAGGCTGGTTCGGATTACACAGAAAGTCAACATCAGCATACTGGAATTGCTCATTCTTGTAATTCTCAGCTACCTGTATATTTATAAACAACAACAAAACCGCATTACCATGAAGCATTTACTTCGCTGATCGTTATCAATAGTTGGATCTAGGAGAGAAGAAACTGCCATAAGAAGTGAGTCTCTATCCATCTCACAATGCCCACGCGATCTACAAAGAAGTATTAAGGAAATTACTGTACACAGAAGCGAAGTAAAGTTGTCCAGTTCCATATCAGTCACAATCAAAGGGAAATAATACATAGCAAGACGCCAATACTGTTTAGAAAGCTAGTATAGGGGTTGTGGAGATTATTACGTTCTTGATTGAGATCATGAACTGATTGATTTTAGACCACCACCTTTGGAAACCTGGAAGCACTGGACGACCGTTTCGTCCTATTGTGGGACAGGTATCTACCTCAGTACAATGGAAGTTGGTCGCGCAATTTTGTGGATTGGTTGATGTTAGACACTATCACCATTGGATGCTGGCTCAGTGGTCCAGTTGGTTAAGCGTTCGCGCGCGAGACCGAAGGCCCTGGGTCCGGGATCGTGGATGCACACTGCTGAGGAGTCCCACAATGGGACGAAACGGCCGTCTAGTGCTTCCAGGTTTTCAAAAGTGGTGGTCTAACATCAATCAGTTCATGATCTCAATCAAAAACTGTTTAGAAAATTTGGTTTCAGACACTGATTTGTCAAACCCTGACAGGGGAAACTGAATGAATCGTCACATTTAACAGTGTATACATTCTTGCTACGGGACGTTTTGCCTCAAGAATTACTAGTTTCAATAATAGTCGTCCCTATAATTTACTGAAAGATTCCAGTAGTAACTGGAAAACCGTTTTTGATGCAACAATGCTGTAAAAAGATGTAAGAATTCCAACGAACTGTCAACTATGAATTTTTAGAAGCTAGTTAATAAAGCGCCCATTAACGAACTCCACCATGATCACTGAAAACGAAAAATAATAGTGAGACCTTGTAAAACCTAACTGGTCATGAAGGAAGTAGAGTCATTCATTAGTAGATTCAAGAAGCTGAAAACGGGAAAAGTGAAAAAACTTCCCTAAAGACACTTTTTTAGTGAGTGGAAGTCTAATTGTTAAAGCACTCCACCATCAAACAAGAGAGTATAATCTGGAATTCCGGTCTACCTACATTAATTCAGGAATCCATGGGAGTCCGCGAATCCACAGACGTTTTCCAGAAACAATCAACTGCATAACGCGACAGCTATTATGCAAAACTTTAGTGCCCATGATGCTTTTTAGAAAATTATTTCTAATCAGGAAAACTAAAACCTTCAAATGGGAATTTTGGGGAGTCGTTTCATTCCAGCCCAGTGGAGAAAGTCGGATTTTAGCCTTATTCCAAGGACATTTTATTTGAGTCCTTGAGTAACCCCCTTAAAACTTCTGTTTTTTTTTAAATTTGCTATTTATGAAAGTTGGTTAGAATCAATACTGGTAGGTATAGCTACCGCGAACTACCTTGTTGCAATAATTTGACATCCTGTAATTTAGCTTGCCTAAGCTACTAGACGCAGGAACCTCAGCCCATCGCATTTAGATGGAAGCAATGTCAGAAAAAGACATAATTAGCTAAGTCTTCTACAGAGGTAAGATAAGTGTCCCAAGTTAGAACTTCTAAGTTGTAATCCGTTCGGCATTTTAAAGCATATTAATATGGGTAGACTTCAGTAAGAGTATGCAAAATCACGGATTTCATCTGACGAAACTTGTATTCTTTGTTGTTAAATAAACCTTTAAGTTTCAAAATAAATCCATACATCACAGTGATTACGAAGTGGGTGATTATTGACGACCAACTTACAACAAGCACCACAGTGCGTGTGTCAGTGAAACGTCTCACTTCGAAATCCCCCACTCAATTATCCTTCGGACAATAACGTGAGTATTCACTCTTTGATAAGTAGTAATAGAAAATCGCTGGCTCCTTTTAGTTCTATGTTTAAGTTGTAAGAGATGCTCCTCTGTGGCATATAATCCACTAAAATAAATATCCTAATCGTGGTGCGTGATATGACAGTCCTGTGATTTTCCAACTTGTTAAGGTCTAACATTCTTTTTGTCTGCTTATGACATCGAAACATTTAAGATCAGTCAGAGCTCATATTTTTTCGAATTATTTACTCGTGTGGTATATTTTTAGTTATTTCCTATAATCTTCCAGTGTCGTGTGTACCTTTTAAATCTCATTCTAACAATCTGTCAAATCTGATACAAATTTCGTTAAAAATAACTTTGAAACCCATAGTTGAATTTTGTGCAAATTTAATCGTAATGGCCAACCGTATTTATCAATGTGAACAGTCTAATTCTCCTTTCTTTGTTGCGAAAGGAGTGCTACGTAATTTAAGGATTGGTGTTATATGATTTAGACCCGTCTAACACCCACTACATATAAGAGATATTCAAGTTCTAACTATCATTAACTCTATGTTTTACTGCTTGAGAAAATCACTGATGATCTCGATGGTAGTTATTCGTGTTGATGAAAAAAATCGAGATTCTAGTACTGACAGTAAAAACCGTTCCAGTACGGCACGTGCAACTTTCGTACAAGATAAAAACTCAACCATTAAAAGTAAAGACAGGAAATCTCTTAAGGAGAGCGTGAAAAAATCTATCAGATTGATGGACCACCTATTGTTGAATGTGATCACAAATTCACTTAACATTAAAACCCAAGTACAACTGTCATCTATTCAAAGAGTCACGATATTAACAAACTTAGCGATGTGGAATGAAAATCTGTGAGGCAGCCAGTGAGGAATGCAGAGTCCGTTACTGAAGGCTCATCATCCCTTAAGTTGCAGAATACCTCCCCGAAGCTACAAAGTAAGATAAAAAAATGCCTTGCTCAGGAAAAATAGTGAAATATCTTCGAATGTTGTTTTTCGAGATTTGGATGAACCTAATGGCTTTGATTCTGAAATTAAATTTGCATTTGATCGAGTAAAGACTGAGATATCAACTCATATCATTAAACCACATCGTTTAACAGGAGTACTGATCAGAACAGACAGTAAGTAACCAAGTAAGTTCTGAGGATCTAGTGTCTCGAACATTTGGGATAACGTTATTGAAGTACATGAAAATTAAGTTCCATAATCTGTCCAAACAAACGTTACACTGAACCTTTATAAGCACACCCACTACGAGCACTGAAATAAATTAAACGATTTATTCGCCTCTTTCTAAGAACGGCATGTTAAAACAGTGGAATGTTGACTTGAAAATGCAGTATCAGCTTTAAGCATTTTCGTTTATGTTATATTCAGTAAAATCACAGCTGTCATTATTTAAGAACCCATGTCATTCATCAATTTCGCCATTATGCACATGATCAGGCCAGCAGTAGACTCATTTCAGATAGTATATTTACACGAAATTTTGCTGCTGAAAGCGATGCAGTTCAAACAAAACTTGGAAGAAGACTTTTTTAACAACAATTTTCCACGGAAAACTAGGTTCCCGATTATATTCATCCAAAAATAATTCCTGATAGTTTTGTCTTCTGTCAATGAATTTATTGATTTGAAATGAGGAAAGTTTCAAAAATGTTTCTCCTGTAAAAACTAAAAATTCCATGCGTACAGCAACTTTGCTTCTCATTTATAGCGGCTATAAAAAATTATCACAGGAATATCAGCGAGTGACTTTTAAGGAGTGTTGAATGGGGAGCTTCAACTGGGCGTTTTGTAAAATCGTTTGACGTAATCATATGAGGAGATTCCGCAGCCCCGTAGATCACTAACGCGAATGATATGTGTTGAACCATTGAGGGCTTACAGGAGTTAGACGGGGGTGGTGTGACGAACCAGCTAACTTCAAACTCATACCTCATAGCGATTAACGTGGATTTCTTTATCGTCGTATCAAGGTACTTTGACTGCCTTAAAGACCGTTCAACCCAAAGGCTTATGAAAATAACTTTCCACCCTCTCGTATGGAGACTGTAAATCCGGAAGCATTTCGTGCCAGCAGACGTCGTTTGCCAGTCGGAATCCATATGGGCCGCATGACGCCAGGATCAAGCACAAAGGCAAGTTGGGGCTGGCTATTCCATTTGTGAACTGTCTTGATCATAAAAAACGTGTAAAGGACAGGGACTATCAACTTAGAAAACTTTGTATAGCTAGGCTATCTTTCCATTCACGTAAGGCTCATACAGACAAACAGGGAGAAGCTCACACGTTTCAAATAGAAAGCACAAGCTGCTTATGTACGAACGCCTCGAGTTTGCCGAATAAAATGGATGAGATACGTGAACTCAACAACGCTAATAATGCTCATCTGATAGGAATATCTGGAACTCCGATATCTAGCTAGCAATACCCGGAATGTCGTTGTTTCGCAATTACAGAAAAACAGGAAATAAGGGTGGAGTAGCTTGTAGTGGCATTGGGACCTAACCACATAATTCTCAAAGCTGAACACGAGACAACATGGAAAATATATATTCAACATTTAACGCAGAGAAAAACCCAACGATGGAGAAGGCAGGAAGGAGTTGAATTAGTTGGAATTGGTCGGATGGCATGGCTCGGCCTTACAGACGTAGTCTTACTTGCGTAACATTATTTCTATCTATATAAAATATATTGTTCTACCTCTAGCCTAAGTTTGTTCTCCGTCATATATCCGTGATTGTTACGATACGATGAGTTGGTGTATACGATGATGTGACTTCCACGTAGGATCTTATATGTTAGGCAGTTACATCATGACAAATCTACAATTTTGGGATTAGGTCTATTATTAGAGCAGTACTAATAACGAAGTAGAGCATAATTCTACAATCCCTATACTTGCAATCTTGTGCACAATCAAGAGTTTATCAGTCTTGATGAATCCGTATGGTGCTCAGTAAGATTGTCTACCACCTCGAGGTATCTAGTTGGAGTCATCTATAGGAAGCTCACTGCTGACATCAAGTACGACAATCGCATGCTGGAAGGATTATTCCACTCTATTCGTTTTAGGTTCACTCATATACTGATTCTAAGGGACTTCAATTTCCCTAACGTCGATTTCGCGGAACATACGTATATTGGAGGTGGAAACTTTACTGAAGCGCGGTTCATCAACTTCATTGAGGATCTGGGATTGTTCAGAAATGTGAAGTTGGCAACTCGTTGGAAAAACAGTCAGACGCCGTCTCTCTTGGACTGGGTATTTACAAACAAAGAATTCCTAATTGACAACCTCTCAATTCTCGCTCACCTAAGTAGAAGCGATCATAGCCTATAGTTTTATCAGGTAAACTAAGCTAAGACATCTCACCAGCAACAAGAGCTGAAAGTTCGAACGTTGAATGTGGGAAATTCACCCTCAACTTGATATGGATGCTCATTGAGATTCTTTGACTGCACACAGTCGTATGTGCTACAAAGCAGTCTGTTCCCAAAAATCTTCTAGCAACCTACGGTCATCAAGAACCGCACTCTTCGTTTGCCAAGCCATAAAAGGCAATGTTTGGGCGCAATACAAACGAACTGCTAACAACGGCGCGTACAGACCTTCAAAACCTATGGAGTGCCGGATATACGACGTTATACACGACTACTTATTATCTTTAAACCAATTTTCTGACCACGGTGGACAGCTGGAAAACCATCCTTGATCACAAAGGAGAGGTTGACGTCATTTACCTTGACTTCTCAAAAACTTTTTATATGGTCAGCCATATATGTTCAAAAGAATATACTGGTACTTCTGGATGATCTGACACGACTTCAAAGTTAGGCAGATGACAACGGACTTAACTTTAACACTTCAAAGTGTAAAGTAGTCCATCTGAGACATGTTGCAAACTACAGCTACAACTTAGGAAGCTGCTCTTTATCCCAAGTTGAAAAACATTTTGAAATGCTGGTACCCTACGATTTGAATTCTTAGGCTAACTATGATAAAAATGCCTTCCTAGCAAACCTTACACTGGTAACATTGAAGCACATTTTCGGCCAGTTCGACGGAAGAACTTCCCACACAATCTTCAACAGATTCATTAATTCTCATTTAGAGTTCGAAACGTAATATTTTCTCCCTCATTAGAAGAGGATAGGGACACTGGAGCGTATCTAACGTCGCGCCACGAAATCAGTTCGGGGACTCAAAGTTAAGCCTTATGAATGGCGCTTCCAATAACTGAACCTTTACCTATTAGAGTATAGGCGTCTTAGAGGTGGCTTACAGCATATTTACCACTTCTGGATATCCCGTTGAACATCTACATAGGTTGAGCTCCAACACAAACCTGAGGGGTAACACCCAGAAACTGGAAACACAATACAGCAGAACGGACTGTAGACACAACTTCTCCTCCCTAAGAGTTGTCAACCCGTGGAATTCGCTGATGGCTGAGCTAGTCTAAGCGACTACTCAGGAGTCATTTAGCAGGAAACTTGACATTTTCTTAGGGACTAAGGATAATATATTACTATTATTTACCAATTTCTTTTTCCTCTATTATCGTTAATATAACTAGGTTTCTGCCTGAAGATATTGGTGATCTGTTGCTACTAGACACGGAAGCCCGTTAAGCGAAAGCTTATTCTATTCCATGTACAACCATTTGAGCCATTTTTACCTCTGTCGATCTTCATTCAGGAATTTATCCAATCTCCTTTATTGAGTGTTTCTAACAGACTTTCTTTTGCATTCACAAAAGCCGAAGCTCGATAAAATAGATATTCTACTGATATGTTTGAAGGTATTGGATACCGTGTGTTAGATTCAAGATAGTTGTTTTAAAAAATAGAATTTTGTTGTTGTCATGGCAGCGGTCGTGGCGTAATTTGACGGTAGTGTAGTGATGGGTGAGACAACTAGAAGTGATGGGAATTTTCTAAAACACAA